ATATAATAGAAAACCCAAATACATCACCATCCCATCAATCCCTGCTACCAATTTACACATATCCATTGTTAATTTATTCTAAATGTGAAGCATTATATAACATGCTTAATATACAATATGATAAGCTAAAGTATATATTTATACACATAATTTTTCAATAACATAAAAATAAAATATGTAGTCAAAAAGTTTTGCGAATAATAAAAAGTTGTAACGTATCATTATTTTAATGGTTTTAATCGCCATGGCCAACGTAATTACTGTATACATGTTTTAATAAATGACACCTTGACCAGTATGAATTTCCTTCATTGTGATCAATATCAGAAAGAAAAACTCACTTCGTAACAATTACTGTTTTTATTATATCGAACGCGATTTTTAAAGACAGGTAGTGTATGAAATCAGATTTCCATTTTCTAAAGTGGAAATGGATTCTGCCAGTTATCTTGTTATATGTAAGTTTTAATTTTTAATTAATTTAAGTTTTAATTTTTGTTTGTTTTATTTTTGGTGTGCAATAAAATATATTCATTCATTCATTCATTCTTTATGTACTTCGTGTATAAAAACTTTTAGTTCAATTTGTATTATTAAATTACTAGTTCTTCGCCGGGACGTCTGATTTGACAATAAATGTTGGTTCAGTTCGTAACACTCCAATTTTATTCACAACTTCATAGGTCATTAAATGACCAACAAAAATCATTAAATGATTTTTTTGTGAACAACCTATTATTTTTAAAAGAAAAATAACCATGCCACTGAATTTACGTTAAAGCCAATTTCAGTTTAGTCCAAATTAAAACAATTTCTACGGATTCTTAGACGGAGTTAAGACAAAAAACATGAGTTAAATTTAGCCTATTTTAATACGTGCCTGCCGGCGAAATTAAATTGGCTTCTCCAAGTACGCTCGTTATTACAACGTGTGCCGTAATTTCTCTCTCGTTCTGATTTATTATTGGAAAATATACCATTTATAGAAAAGAGCGCTTGAGGTGAGGGTGGTTTAATATACATTTAGAATCTTATAGATAAGCTAAAGATGATTTTTAAAACGCCTCTAGTCGATATATTTATTGTTTGTTAATGTTTTCAAATTCTATTTCAAGTTAGTTTTGTTGTTTTGTTTAGTTATGATATGTTTACTGAAATAAAAAATAAAATTAATTAAAATTTGTAAAAGATAAAAAAACTATATGTCATATACAACAATTGTATACCATGGTTATATGAGTTCAATCTCCGATGCCGGAACCAACGAAATTGTAAAAATACTGATTTATCACATGCTTATTGGTGAAGGAAAACATCGTGAGGAAACCTGCATATTTTTGAAATGATAACATAAATATTTCTAAGATATGTGAAGCAAATATGACTTAAAGAGAAAACCTCAAAGTTAAGTAAACTGATCTTAACCATAATTCTATGTCAATAATCCTTGTTTTCACCAAAGAAACCTCTTCTTGCTTCGGTGAAAACATTTCACTGTTAGCGTTACTTTTAATACTGCTATTACCTACTCCAAATATTCTATGGAATTCAATTTTAGCGGCAATCGACCTAACTTTTGATAGCTTTTGTACGCATGTACGTCTTATTTATGTTAATATTTCATTATATTCGTTAACGCCTCGTCTGTGTTTTAACTATGTAGTCATGCTTTGACGTACCAAACAGTCACGAACATTTAAAGAAAATAAATATTTTTAATCTGTATCACCCATTTATTACTAGCAACCCCGCTCCACTCCTGCTGTCATTGTGTTTTTTCGTGCCGAACCAAACGTTGTGGTCATTATCTTTGATCACAGACTGCAATACCGTTTCTCTTATAAATTTAGAAAATATTATGATATATTGAATTGGGGTATCAATACTCAATATTCAAAAGCCCACAGTACTACAAAACGTATAAACATTGATTATAAAAAGAAGAACTGCAGGTTGGACTTAATCCTCCAATATCTTTGCTCGCTTTAATTATTGAACTGTAATAAATGAAAATAACTTTTAGTTTCAGGTATAATGGAAAGTATTCAGTTAACACTGATTACATTGATATTGATGTATTATAAACAATTAAAATTATATCAATCTTTATTCTTTAAACATCTACATAGTTAAAACACAGACGAGGCGTTAACGAATATAATTAATTGATCAAAGTAACTTACCTGTAAGTGTCATATAATTTTGATCGAAGGTCACTTACAGGTAAGTTACTTTGATCAATTAATTATACACACTAAGTAACTCACTTTGTTTGACGTTGATGAAAAATGTTATTCAATCATGTTTAAGCGCGTCCATCTTGTATGAACAACTAATGAAACCTATTAGTTTATTGTGGTTGTAATAAAATGAACATCTTTCTTAAGTATTACTTACGATACCTAATATAATATATTATTTAACACGTGCTTTCAATGTCAGTGCGCACTTGAGTCGAAAACGGTTCTCGACGTAGTCATCGGTTTGCAGAAATTGTTTTTGATTTTTAAATATGTTACTAGACGTTGTAATCATTTGCTAATGCAATAATGCGATTATTAAGCGTTATATAACATGCATTATTATAATGAATATTATGTAATGCTAAAATAGAACCTACTGATGCCACCAACCATCCATGTTATTTACAAAATTGCAAGAATGGGCAATAATTACATTTTTTTAAACAACTCCAAATCTATGCATTGTACAAGATACATTTTAATCAATTATTTATAGAAGTTTTCAGTTTCAATAGTTAGTATTAGTTTTACATTCTTGAGGTAACATATTATTGATTGCAATAAATACAAAAGCTCATAGCAAATTATAGGTACAAACGGACTGGATTTTAAAAACCGGATAAGGATAATTTGACATACGAGGTTAAAAAGTTCGCGGGATGCGGATGGATGGATGGAGCGATAGGGGTAAAGTTAAATGTCAAATTGTTTTTCCTTTGCAATATAGAATATATTGTGACACTAGCTGCTGCCCGCGACTACCTCTGCGGAAAAGAGGCTGAAGGCGTAACATTCAGACAGAAAGACAGACAGAAGGACGTCCACTGCTGAACATAGGCCTCCCCCATTGACTTCCACATCGACCGGTCGTTAGCGGCCTGCATCCAACGTGTCCCTGCGATCATGGCTAGGTCGTCCGTCCACCTTGTGGGAGGCCTTCCTACGCTGCGCTTGCCGTCACGTGGTCTCCACTCGAGAACCATTTTGCCCCAACGGCCATCGGTTCTTCGAGCTATGTGCACTGCCCACTGCCACTTCAGCCTGCTGACTCGCTCTGCTATGTCGGTAACTCTAGTTCTTCTACGGATCTCCTCATTTCTGAGGAATTTTTTTGATCTCGTAGAGAAACCCCAAGCATTACCCTTTCCATAGCGCGTTGTGCGATCGCGCGTATTTTGGGGTCAGAATAGGCTGAAATTGCTATTAAATTTTTGTCCACGGAACTCGTTCTTCAATTTCAAATAAATAATAATAACTAGGGGCTAGGCTTGGACTGTAGGGTGGATGTTTCAATTCGAAGCCGCATCGATGAATAACAACAGTCGCAACTCGACTTTGTGTGCACCTCGCACGGGACCGTTGTCGTGCAAAAGGAGCACTCACTCCTTTTCCCAATTTTCCTCTTCTTTTTTCCTTGATAGTCAGCTTTAAGCGTTCTAATAAGGAAGCGTAGTATTGGCCCGTAGTGACACTTCTTCTTCTTCTTTTTGGGAGGAAGTGTGCCTTTTTTATGCCACTGCATCGACACCTGCTTTGGCTCAGGTTCATAGTGTTAAACCCAAGTTTCATCTCCAATAACGATCCGGGCCATAAATTCTTCTTTATTCTCTCCACAGAGCTTCAAAAACTGGCGAGATCGCTAGCGTTTTTGGAGCGGTGTAAGCATTCTCGAATTCTCTCTTGCACCTTAGTTATACCAAGATAATCATTTAAGATGGTCAAAATGATCGATTCCGATACTCCAACCATTGCTGCTTGTTGCTTCTTCTTCAGTCTTCCAATACAATTTTCTCCACCATTCGATCCAAAACAATTAACCGTCCGGAGCGATGGTCATTTTCAATAGACTCCTTGCCACACACTTGTTTACTCGGGCAGAGCACACTTTACTAGGGGCACATTACCCGTAAACTGCTATCATCTCTTGGATAATGATTTGACGTGATTTTCCTTGTTAGGTAAGGAACTTAATGACGTCGTGGTATTCAATTTTCTCCATAGTGGCTGATTTCTTCCCGATTGACATCTTCGTATTGACCAGTTATTCAACTCAAAGATTAATGACCCGATTAGTTGCAATTTAATATTTATATCCTTAATAAGTAGTTCTACTAGTGATTACTTGGAGTAACCACTGGCGGTAGTAGTTAAGTACCAACCCCTTCATTCCACGAACTTTTTGGTCGCCCCTCGTATAAAATGTAAGATAAATAAAATTGGGGTGTCTGTTATATTAAAATAACAGCTTTTAACTACATGCTTATGGATGTATACGTGGTATTCGTACCAAAATAACATTGTTTTCATTTTTTGTCTGTCTTTCTGTTTGTTCCGGTTAATCTCTGAAACAGCTGGACTGATTTTGACGGGACTTTCACTGGCAAGGCAAGCTTATGTAATAAGCTAGCTAGAGTAGCTTAGGCTACCTTTATGTTTGTGACTAAACTTAGATCCAGCCGGATTTTGATGAATTTTTTTGTATGTTCAAGTGGATTCGAGAATGTTTTAGATGCACAATTCGGTCCACTACAAAATTTATTTTTAATTATTTTTTTATTTCTAACTCATCGTCACATTTAAGATATCTACAGGACTTCAGCTCCTCAAGTTCAGTATATTACAATAAAAAGATTGTCATGCGTTAATGGATTAACGATTATGCTTCACGAGTAGTATATTATAATTAGACAAACGTATATAGTAATTATTAATGTGCGGTTGTTCTATTTTATTAATGTGCTGTTATTTCCTTATCAGGTCAGTCCATCGAGTTTTGATTGCAGATAGCGTGAACGTTTGAAACCATCAAAATGGTCGTTGTAAGTATTTGCAATAATTAATTAATACCTAATAATATATCAACCTTTTGTTGATACGCCGTAGATTCATTCATCAATCATTTTTTTTTCTTTCATCTTTTTTTTTCTCTCAGGAATCAAACGGCGGCACCTCTCCGCCGCAAGAGCTTGAGACTTTCATACCACAAGAGGAAAGGAACAAGGAGAAAATCGTCAGCAAGTAAGTTCTGATACAACGTAGACAGTCCAACGTAGACAGTAATACATTATGTAGACGGATCTGATCACTATTTCTAGTGAGTTGATTCGAAACTTGAAATAACCTGCTTGCACTAAATGCCAATGTGAACGAAATTTACATTACAAATTTTTAATAAAAATAAAATAGCTGAATTTAATATCTATGTTTCGTTTACTTATTTCTTTTATTAATTATATGTGCCATTATTAATAATTTTAAATTAAACTAAATTAAATGTTATCTAATAAACTGCCACTGAATACCCTTTGCAAAAAATTAGGTAAGCTTTTTCTTAATTTTCATTTATTTAAATTTTATATTCAGCTTTTATATTGCTAATCTCTGAACTTAAGACGAAACATTAAAATTTGTAGAAACATGGATGAATTTATTTTCGCCGCCGAAAGAAACGAACCTACGTCTTCTGGAATGCCCAGCCGATTTTAACCACTAAGCTCAACGGCTGACTGTCATTTTTAGTTTACTTTTTATAGTACATTTATTCGACTTATGTCTGATAACATAAATAATTAAAAGAAATTGTGCATTCTTAATAACATAAGAAAACTAGCAATAAAAATTAAACAATTGTTTTTGCTTAGTTTTAAATCATCAGTTCAACTAACCTCTTACCGCGTTAGTTTTATCAAAGTATGTCAAGGTGAGATTGAATTTCGCTAGCCTATATAGTTAATTATATGATGGCTATCTTTAAAAGGTTTCTCAGCGATGTACGGCCTCAGCCGCCTCTTTCGTAAATGAATAATACTGTTATGGTGCTTGACCTATTAAGCTGCGCTAACCCAATTGACTTATTATAATCACATCCGTCACTCGATGACATTTTCGCAGCGGGGATTATACAAAGCTTCAGCGATCAGCCTGCACGCGAAAATATCGAGGATGCTGTACAGAAGACGTAGAAAGGGGATGTGTCATTTTCGGTTATGAACGGTACACCCCATGAATCCGTGACACGAAAAATAAAAAAAATCAACAATCGTGGAAAAATATTATTTCTTGTATTAATTATTAATTAAACGAGTTCAATTAATGTTCTGTACGTTAAAAGGTGAAAAAAGGAACCTTATAAGATTCTCTTATCCGTGTGTCACCACCGATTTTCTCAGTAACAGAGGAAACTAGCAATTTGAAATTTATACCATACTAGTGATACCAAATATACACTACTATGTTTCTCTACTATATAATGCATGTATTATACATACAAACCTTCCTCTATAATCACTCTATCTAAAAAAAAACGCATCAAGATCCGTTGCGTAATTCTAAAGATCTAAAGATACATAGAGACAGACAGATAGCGGGACGACTTTGTTTTTTACAATGTATTGAATACTGAGGTCTATGGTCCCTATTGGGTGTATAAAAGGTCACCAATTGAATATCAAGGTCCTGTATCAACACGTTAAAAATATATGGGCAAATTTAGATTTTCGATACATGGGAAAATTTAACTTGATTTTTAATTTTCAAAATTGACAATTCTATGTCAACCGAAAGTACCCTATTAGGTTTCCGTAGAATAAAAAAGTACATAGTATAAATAAGCAGTCTTAGAAATAATTTTCAACTAATAACAATAGTGTTGCGATGTCGTCACTAAAAAAATATATATCTATACAGCCTTTTACTGACATAAAAAGCACTCGGCAAATTTTGGAATGAATCGTACATTGACATTTAGTTTTGACGTTTAAAGATCCTGTGGTATGACGCTTGTCCATACTGCGCGGCCATGTTTTACTTAATAATTATTCTGCTTTACATTATATGACATAATATGTAATTGATTATGACAGATGATATAGAATGTACGATACGGAAAGCAGTCTATAGAATTGCAATCGAATTACACCAATTGGCGTAATTCGCCAATTGGTGTAATTAGATTTAAAGTTTCGATGCGCTCGTGTCTTATCTACCTCGTACTTGTAAATATATCATTGATTTAATATCAAAATTCTTGCCACCATGATCAAAATTTTTCAAATATAATTTTAAGCTTTTAACATATTCTATATAATAAACTTTATGTAAGTAAAGTCTCCTTAAATATACTCTATTTAAGGAGTCATTTCTAAAGTTTCCTGTAGAGTACAATTTTGGCCAGAGCCCCATATAAAAATGGAACATCCCCTTTATTGCATGTGGATATAAATTGTGCATAAAGCCCGCTCTAGCATACACTCGTTTCAATTTGAAGATTAATTTCTTTCGTTCTACTGACGGTGCCTACGTTCGGTCGAAGTGGAGTAGCAAGAACGTAGTACTCGATTCCGGACTCCGACACTAATTGACTGATTATTCATGATAAATACACGAACGAGTAATATAAGTACACGTACTTTGCAAAATCGAAATACATGCCCATATTGGTCGGTTTCAAGAATAAATATTTATTGATGATGTATTGAAAAATCTTCATTACATTTGTACTTGGATAACTATACAAACTAGAATTTAATTTTACCTTATATATATCTTTTATCCAATCGTTTATTACAGACATAAAGATTAATAAATAAGTTTTCATTTCATAAGGAAAAAAGAACGAAATTCATGCTAAATACCCTTTGCGAGTGCAGCAGTTATCGTTATCGCAGTAACTGAACATGAATGCCTGATCTTTTAAACTTCGGTAATAACAAATATCGCCTTCGCAATAAGCGGAAAAGCGCTAGACGTCAGCGCTATAAAATATCTGTTGCCCGTAGAAAAGATCCAAGGGGCGGTACTAAAGATGATGATTATTAAACTGTTGATACCACGCACTGGCTTCAGAGAAGTTAAATTTATTTGAATAAATAACTACTACTTTTACGTACTTACACGTAAACAACTTTGTCAGCTTTATTATATGGGTCCAGATTAGAGGTAGGTACGTTAAACGCGAGTGACCTTAATGGCAGATTTTGAAAAATACTATATTGCTGTATTATATCTCATTGAGTCTATAATCTGGTGCTCAGTAGATGATGATGAACCACCCATGTAAAAAGTAAATATCACAAATAACTTAGTTTTAGATGCTAAACATTTTTCATCTTTGTTTTCCAGGTACAATCTAACCAAAGATGTGGAGTCCGCGGACTTCGACCCGTTCTCGGAGAGGAAGCTGGATAACCCAACTTCGTAAGTGCTCAACTTTCTATTGTTTCAATTCCCTACACTTACTGAGCAAATAGTATTTCTAACTTCCTCAGATTAACAACATATTAAGCGTACAATTAATCAAATTGTATGTCTATAGATGCATGACTGGAGAAATGGTAACTTTGTAATGTTTGCACGAATAATATCTTTAAAATGCTCAACTTATTTGAGCCCTACCCCAATACCTCAAACAAAGGGCAGGTCCCTTATATGAGATCGATGGCGCAACCTCCAGACTAGCTAAGCGTTACTCAGGCCATGTCATTAAAATAAACTTCCGACTAATGCGTCCCGTTGAAATGCGCAGGCATGAACGTGAACACCATACATAATTCAACACGAGTCACTGCGCGCTACAAGTGGATGCATTAATTACACAGAACTATTAATATATAAACGCATGTTTGAATACGTTAAACCACTACCTTGCTCTTGCAACACGGTGACAATAATGTGGTATTATGAACCCGATTCGGACGGCCCCAATGTTTTATCGGATTATAACGCTTGATTGAACGTGGGTCACATATTTTGTTGTCAACCTTCGGAAATTAACACCTCAGAAAATTTCGAACCTTATTAATTGAATGCGAACCTTATAAATTGCTTGTCTACTCCGTCAGTTATCGACATGTGGGTTGGACTGTTAAAAGTACAGTTAAATGGCATAAACTTAAACAGTTTCCGTTGAACAACATCGGAGAATTTAAGGCACGTAAATGTGTTAGAAATTTAAGGCACGTAGGTACACACACATAAAAATATCTCGTCAGAACCTGCCTGACCACGCGAATGTTTGTTTTATTCGTGTATTGCTTTGCGATAAAAATAACAACTTAGAACTTGAAAGGTTACTATGACGAGAATTAGCTTTGCGACGACTTTTTAACTATATTTTCACTACCATAGCAAGCGTCTGTATTCGAATCTTTCGAGAAAGAATAAAAAATGTAATCTTGACAAATTATTTTAGTAAAAACTGTTTATATACAAACATATGTAAATAATATGGAATGTAGCATTCCTTCCTTTGTGGGTATTCATTTAATTTAATTACAAAGCATGATAATGCTTTTCATAATTTCAAGGTTGGCAACAGCCAGATATAACATTTGATATAACATTTACACCCGGCACATAATCATAATTATGTGCCGGGTGAATATGTTATATCGATATATGCATAACACTGTTACATCATTGTTTACGCAGATACGAGTTTATGTTAGTTATCAATATTTATTTACGTAAATGTGAGTTCTCACTAATTCTTCGAGAACTTGCTCTTTCCGTCAAGTTATTGCAATAAATTCTTATCCTATACTTTTATAATGTAGATTCATATCCTATACTTTTATAAGGTAGGTAATATGTCAACAAGTTTTTAGCTAAAAATATAACTCAATATTTTCATGCGCAGTCGAAGTATAAAAAATTACATTGCACAAGTATTGACATTGCACGCAGTATCGAACTGTACTGAGATAACAGATTAGTTGAAGTAGCCCTGAGTTATTGTCGATATCATATTTCACTATCCTTATATTGACACATTCTATTTTCTCTGAGTAATTTTCATGGAAGACATTCATAAATTAACTAGAGTTTCCCGTCTACGCATACATGCGTGTAAAATGTAATAAAATTAAAGAAGTTCAATTTTTTAACAATATCAATTATTAAAAAAATTATAGCTTAACACGTATATATTAATTAATTAATCATTAAATTCATATGGATATATGTATGCACTATGAAAACCCTGCATGCTTTGCAGCGCGGCAGCGAGAAGGAAGAAAGCACACCTTTTCTAGGAGGCTTCTCTGGCGCTTTAAAAAGTTTGCACCGAGAATGCTCCGTATATTATTTTTTCTGTCCCCTTAATCTCACTAAACAGGTGTTGCCTTCCAGAAACATGGACACGCTTACGCATTTGCTGAAGGCGTCGCTCGGTACAGGGATTCTGGCGATGCCCAAGGCATTCAAAGCGCTGGTCTGATCTCCGGCATCTTCTTTACGGTGCTCGTCGCGGTTGTCTGCACTCACTGCGCTTACGTACTAGTAAGTTGGATAACGCTAAACAAAAGCAGCGCGAATACCTATTCCCACCGCGAATCCAAAGCTCTTTGTCAATAAACTATTTCTGCGATGTACCTACCTGACAACACTGAATTCGGTACTCGACTTGGCGAATGTAAATTTCGTTACGTTTCTCCGTAATAATGCTTTGCGCCGATCCAAGTGTGTATACTGTTGTAATGTTTATTAAATTTCTCGCACAAAGCAAATCATACGTTAAGAACCAATTATTAACAACAATGCTTATAAGTTTTCACGTTGTAAAGGACGGTTCTATTTTACAATGTATTGCGTCCATAAATATTATTATAACGTTCAGCATAACATTCAATTTCAATACGAAAGGCATACATTTCGTTTGTAAATGATTTCGTATTTTCATAAACTCCGTGTGGATTTATAAGGTTTACTCATTGTACTACAAATATTTAAGGTCATTTGAAATTACTAAAGATTCCACCGCAGTATTTTGAGGGAATGGTAGTTGAAAAACCTTAGACATAATAAGGAACGACAAACCAATTAAATAATTGAGTGAGCCTAGTTAATAGACATCCTATTTAATTTCTAACTGGATTAATTATCTACGACATTCTCCACGCTGCTTTTTTCGATTTCATCATTGCAAAGTGTATAATTACTATCATAATAGTCTAATATTTAGTGTTTATAAATGGGTTTTGCGAATATCTGCTTACGAAAGAGAAAAAGAACGCAAAATGTTATTCGATATCTTTTTTTTCTAGCGAATTTTATACAACTGATGTATCGTTTTCTCTTCTCACCACTAGATGTCATCTATGAATTACATCAACTATGCTCTGCGTATAAACCATGTGATATTCTACGGAATATGTAACAATGTACCTTAAAAATCTCACCTAAACATATGTGCCTATAGATCAAGTGTGCCCACGTGTTGTACAAGAAAACCCGCAAGACCAAAATGAGTTTCCCGGAAGTGGCAGAGTCGGCTCTTCAAAACGGACCTCAATGGGCTCGACCTTGGGCTAACTCCTTCAGGTTGATGTTCTTTAATTTCGTACACAAAACGTTATTGCTTAAGATATGTTCAGAACAACTCTAAATTTTAAAATTGAATGCGATTAGTCAATCAAAATTGAGAGATGTTAAAATAAGTAGTTCTCGTTTACATTGTGATTCTTTCAACAAAAAAACGTTATTTAGACCCAATAAGTACTCAATCTGATTATTATTCATACAAAACGTCTAACGATCTCTTATCGATTGTTACATAATGGTCCCCAGGTCGTTAAATTTAAGTAATCGGTCAAATCTTCAGTTATCTTTTAACTATAATTTTTTACTATTTTAAACAATTTCCCAAAAGCCATAATTAAAAATCTACACGTGTTTTGTTTAACAAAATAATCAAGCCACATGATACGTAATGAAATTGTTAAAATTGGGTCATTATAAAAATGAATGGCTAACTAATCTACGTTTAAAAAATTATATTTTAGTAAACGTAACATGCATGGAAAAAATATCATTACATATTTTTTTTCCCGCTTTACTACAACTATGCTTTATTGAGATTCCATAGTTTCAGAGATTGTCCAACATTAACAAGGAATTTGTTATTTTTCATCAGAAATTTGGTAATATATTAAAGTCAATTTCAAGAGTTTCTTAATCGTAAATCGCCCTTATTATATAAAACCGAATTTAATTCTTGTTTCAGAATATTCATCCTCGTTAGTCTCTTCATGACGTACTTTGGCACGTGCTCCGTATACACCGTCATCGTCGCAACTAATATATCGCAGGTGTGTAGGATTGGGTTTTTTTTTGTTGACATGCGGGAAATGCCATGCATACCCGCCCTCGCGGGGCAAGAGCGGGTTGTGACGGACTCGCACCGACTAAAACACCCACTATATTGCACCTAGGCGCACATCGGCAGGGCTACGGGAACGCATTCGTACACTTTCGCGACCCTGTCAACGCTGGCCGCCCCAGCAGCTCCCTCCCGGAGATCAACTCCCCTCTCCTCCAGGTGCTGGAACATTCAGCGCGCCTTCCTACACGGCCTCTTCAACGAACTCCCCCGAGTTTGCTGACCAGTGGCCATGGGAGCCAGGAGAGCCAGTGCCCATTAGCGGCAAGCCTCCAGCCCCTAGCGGTGGACCTGGTCTCACTAGAGTGGGCTCACTGAGCCCACTCGGAGCGGCCCTCTCGGGCCGGCCTTACACAACAGGAGTGTGGGATCCTTTTAGCTTCGCCGTGGGGGACCAAGCCCCGGTTACTAAGCGCCTCCGCCATGACATGACGGGAACCCGGTCGGTGGGGAAGTTCTGCCGTCTAGAGGAACATCGTTCAACAACGTAAAATGTCTACATTACAAAACTGATTACTTACATCAACCCCCTTATAACATTCAAGTGATAATCAATATTCATCCTGACATTCCTGTTTATTTTTTCCACATACAATTTATCTTCAAAAATCGTAAACAGATCTAAATCACCACGCGCATTTGATACGATGAACTTACATTAATAGAAAATTATTACAAGAACATTTGTTACAGGTTGTGCTTCACTACTTTGAAGACCACAAAGAAGTTCTCGGAATCAGAATTTTCATCATAGCGTTGTTATTGCCGCTCATATTCATGGCTTGGATCCGCAACCTCAAATACTTGGCGCCGGTCTCTATGATCGCCAATCTGTTCATGGGTGTAGGCCTTGGAATCACTTTCTACTACTTAGTAGGAACCGGTGGCCTAAGCTTCGATAAAGTTAAAGCTGTTAAGCCGCCAGCCGAGTGGCCGGAATTCTTCTCACTAACGATCTTTGCAATGGAGGCCATTGGTGTGGTGATGCCTTTGGAGAACGCCATGAGAACGCCACGGTCGATGCTCGGATTCTGCGGCGTGCTCAATAAGGGCATGTCCGGTGTGACCCTAGTATACATTCTTCTCGGATTCCTCGGATATCTGCGATACGGTGATTACGTCGAGGATTCCATTAACCTCAACCTGGAACAAGCACACATGTAAGGATTTCTCGCAAGACTTGCATTTTATATCGTTTAAAGCGTATTGCCATTTTATTAAAACAAACAAAAAACTGTTCACTCGTATCATCAAAAGCATTTGGAAGCCATCATGCTTGACATTCATCATCATTCATGCAACGCAGACATATATCATGTATCATATTTTGTGGTGACTTCGTGTTGAATCTGCACATCGGTGATATGTTGTATTCACTGTAGTAGGACCATGCATTAGCTTCTGCTATTGCACGAATGGGATGGTGTTTACGGGGAAATTCCGCGGCGACAAAGTAGATCGGCGTGGAATGAGTTTTATATTTTCGTGTTTTGTTTGATCAGTGAGGTAACTGAAGCACTTAAAGGTTGATAAATCCATCCGCAACCCCTCTGGAGAGTTGTCCATGGTTGGCGGTAAACAGTTAAAATCAAGCGAACCATCGTCTCGCTGGCCAATTTTTCCCATAAAAAAATATGGCAAATAAAATGTCTTCAAACTTATTTGTTCACTTACATCATAAAAAATACAAATCAAAAACCAACCCAACAGTTTTAGACCAATTTTTTAGGTAAGAAATTTTGCATGCGTTTTCCTCGGTACATTATATTACGATTTTCAGCTCGGCCCAAATCGTCCAAATCGCCATCGCCATAGCCGTGTACTGCACGTTCGGGCTCCAATTCTTCGTGTGTGTGGACATCATGTGGAACTGCATAAAAGAAAAGTTCACCAAGCGGCCCGACCTTGCCGACTACGTCATGCGCACAATTATGGTTACCGCCTGCGTCTTGCTCGCTGTCGCTGTTCCCACAATTGCCCCATTCATGGGCGTCATAGGCGCCTTCTGCTTTTCTCTCCTCGGCCTAATCGCGCCCGCGTTCATCGAAATCATCACTTTCTGGGAGATTGGCTACGGCCCATACAACTACCTGATAATTAAAAACGTATTGGTTCTCCTCTTCGGGGCCTTCGCACTGGTCTTTGGCACGAAAGACGCGGTTATCAGCATAATAAACGTTTACAGCAAGTAATGTGAAAACATTTTTGTGAATTCAGTCCAGCAGATCCGGACTTGGTTTACAAAAATTACGTGTGATAGATAGAATTTAAGGCTAAGTAGTTTTAGTAAGTGTTTACACATTTAAAGCCCATTCTACCAAATTCAATGCGATCCATTTTTGGTCGCAGATTAAGTTTGGTGCTAATAACAATTTATATTTGTACATTTTTAAGACCGCACGTTTATTGTGTCTTTTAAAGATTTTTTATAAAAATAAGATAGGAGTCTAATATTTGTTTCGAAGATTTTGAAGCTTAAAATTTCGTTTGCATTCCCAATTGCATTAGAAATGATTGTGGCTGAAAGTTTGTGTGCATTAAACGCGTTTTGTAATATATTCATGGATTAAAAAGTTAACTTGTTTGTCTAGGTGATATCGGTAGCGTGGTTTGCGAGCGTTTCAAAATTTTTGAGACACAGATAGAGACAATGACAGAAAAAGTGAAATTGCAACGGAGGCGCCCACTTATTTCACAGGTCTAGGAACTTTTAATTGGTGATGACCTTTTTTTGTAACGTTAGGACTATTTACGTAAACACAGCACTATACTATTCATAGACACGCAGACAATATTTTCACTGATAATTATTAGATAATACCCACGAAAGCCTAGACTGCGTATGAAGTTTTTGAAACAACTTAAATTTTCCATAAATGCTATATATAACAAAAATCTCGTGTCTTGGATAATGGATAGAGTAAGATAACCATGGGCAACAAAATATAATTTTAATCATCGATCATAATGCAAAATAAAAGCTAATTATGATATTATGTGAAAATTATGGTGCCGGTAACCAACCTATTGTATTGTAGCCGTTCTTTTTTTATTTGTGAACAAATTTATGATTTTTTTTTTTCAAGACCAAGAATTTTATTTAGGGATTATTTATGAAGTCGCATTTAATATTTTTAATAGTAAACGTCTTAATAGTTTATGATATGAAATGATAAAAATACTATCTTGCTTTCGAATAAATCGTTTAACAATCTACGTAGAACATAAATAGTATATACAATACAAAAAATAATGCAGAGTTATCAGAACATGAATATCAACCGGGGCCTTACAGCTTTTAATGAGACTATTGGAGAATTTTTATAGATTTATTACATATTTTAATATAGCAAAGTATATGTTAATAAGTTAAAAATATACCTTTTCATAAGAACTGTTTTCCATTACATGACCAGATATTGTGCTGAAATATTATAGTATTGGCGGACCAAGAAGTGCCAGTGCCTTCCTCAAACCAAAAAAGTACTTTTTATTGGTTTGTGGTGCCTTCCTGAATTTAATTTCGGGTTTGAACATGTTATCAACACCTTCAAAAATCAAATTGTATAAATACATAGTAAAAATATAAGTATTATGTTTAACCAACCAAGTTCCTATAATCTAAATTTTATTTTATAATTTGTTTCAGTATACATACAAATACGTATTTGGGTTTAATTAGCGCGGATGCGTTATTTATTTTAATTTAATGAGTTTGCCAAATGATAAAATAATTTATTAAAAATAAACATCATACAGGTCCAACAAAGCCATTTGTTTTATTAAAATTACCTGGGTTATATTTGTTATACATATATACTGTTTTGTTTATTTGTATACGATATGATATGAACGCCAATGATAATAAATACAAATACAAGGTAGATTGTTAGTACAAATACTCCTATACATCCCCAAACGGGGATCGCAGTTTTATATGTATCTTATCCTTTCTAACCAATGATATTTAATATTATAGTATGTTCATTCTTGTTTTTAAATTCTGGGTTCGAAGAAAGATTGATAAAAAAAATGCTTTCTCATTCGACGCCACAATATAAATCTTTTTCTTTATTTCTTTATTGTACACAGTATAAAATATACCATTTGGAGCAAATAACAAAAAACATGTACAAAGGCGAGCTTAACCCTAAGAGAGAGTTCTCTTCCAGCAGTGTTAGGTAACTAGGTGAAGGTGTGCAAAGCAATCATAACAATAAATGAATATCAATGTATAAAATAATAAACATAAAATAATAAATACAAATACATCCATACATACAAAGTTTAAATAATATATACAAATACATACATGCATTATAAATAAATACAAACATTTGTTGTCAAGTAGATAAATAATCTCTCTTGATCCTTCTAAGAAAACTTTCAACGGAATAGTTGGCACGTATGTCACTTGGTAGTGAGTTCCGTAACTTCACCGCTTTAACAGTAAATGACGCATCATACCTCTTAGTAAACTGAGTAGGTGTTTTAAGAAGAAGGGATTTTGTAGTCCGACACCGAGTTCCGAGAGGTACCAGATATTCAAACCTCTGTCGGAGATAGGAAGGAGCTAAAGGATTAGATAGTAAGAAATAAAGGAACGATAAATTAATTGAAAAACATCCATATATCTCAACATCTTCACAAACTGACATTTATAATATTAGTAGGAAGTAGGATATGATTAAGAGGTAGGAGGATGGGCTAAGGATTATAAGCAACGAATATTCTGTTGTTTAATGTACTGCCTCTTCTCTCACCACAACTGTGTCAACTGAAAGAATAAATTCATTTATTTTATCCACTTGCTCCTTAAGATGAAAGTCCTTTGCTTGAAATCAATGTAATGTCTTAGTGGATATATTTTCAATATCGGAGTAAACTTTGTACAGACATTTCTTGCTTGCAATTCACCATTTCCTATTTGGAGCAAGTCGTAAGAATACAAGTACAACTTGCCTTATGAACTGACCCCCACACTAGAATGTTGCCTATCCAATGTGTGTGTGTGTGTGTGTGTGTGCGTGCGTGCCGACTTTACGCTTTCAGATTCATTATATAACCATTCTAAAAAAATCTCCGTTAATGAAGATTTAAAAATTTTCCGGTTGCAATACCTTAGATTGCATTCAAAAAGGCAAAAGTCAAAATTTCTTTATTCAACATAGGGTTATTTTAAGCTCTTATTGAACATCAAAAACTACCACCGGTTAAACCTGCAAGAGAAGAATCGGCAAGAAACTCTGCGGTCATATATATATATATGTATATATTTAATTACTGAAGTATATACACAAAATTATTTTAGTATAATTTAGCAGGAGCCAGGGGACTTGCAAGTGCAGAGCAAGAGTCATTTCCACACATCCTTGTCCTCAATGTATTCCTCGACATTTTAATAGGCCCTTTTCATTAAGGTGGCTTTTGCAGATTGTTTGAAATTATTTACACTGAGCTGTTTGTGGATGTCACCTATTCTATTATATAAGTTAATACATCTACCAAGAACCGATTTCCTGGTTTTAGCTAGACTAAACCTCGGTATTTCCAACGTGTCACCACGGCCCAGACGCGATGTGGTATGTATTTCTAAAAAGGTCTATGTTATTTCGTGCATACATAATGTTCTCAAGTATGTATAGCAACGGGAGCGTTAAGATGTTTATTTGTTTTAAAATATGAAGAAGGGACTCACATGGTCCCAGACCATAGACAGCCGACACGGATGCCACATGGTCCTTAAAAGTAAATCAATCATCAAGTGTTATTCCCGGGTACCTCATTGTGCCAGCACGCTGAATATGTTTACAGTTATAAAGACGATGAGATTCTCCTGATGACGATTGGAACAATGAAGAATAAAGTTTGATGGTTTCAAAAAAGTGGCGGAGCCGAAGAAGCCGATAGTGAAGAAGGTTATGTTACATTTCCTTATATGTGGCCATAGATGCGATCTTTTGACCAATAGATAACTATCAGCTGCTTTCTTTTATTGTCCAGATATCACAACTGCTACTTCACTTAAACAGGGGGCATTATATCGTTGGCGTGAATCACTACATTGTAATCTGGTACATCAGGAGAACACATTCCATGGTAGTTTTAAAGTATTGTATATACCTATTATGTGGATGCAACTTGTCTTGCAAAGACCCGACTATAGAGCTATCAAGTGGTTGTCTTATATTGTTTTCATTTATATAACATCTAGTAGCTATTTGAATTTCTTGATCAGCAATTAAATAAATCTACAATTTATGGTTATAGGTTGACATGGAAGAAGACAGCGAGATTACAGGTAGCAAGGTGATAAGCCTGCCCGATGGCTTAAGATGTTGACATGCCGTGTTCAACCACCCGTTGGCTTTTGAATGATCATCTATAAAGCGTCATTATACCAAAGAATATATTTTTTATGTGAAAAGTTGCCAAACGAGCAGACGGTTAACCTGGACGGTTGGTAAGTGAATACCGCCGCCCATGGATAACTGCTACACCCGAGGGTTACAGATGCGTTGCCAACCTTTTTAAAATTGGACTCCGGTTACCTTACTCACCAGACGAAACGCGAAAATATTTCTCATACTTCCACTTTACGCTGGTCTTCTGTGGGGGGCGTGATACTTACCCGGATGGGCCTGCCCATTCGTGCAACAGCCGAGGCTGCTGCGTCGCCCTACCAGCGTAAAAAAAATATTATTTTCGTCGTCTAGTTTATTCTTACGATTAGAACAACATAGACCCTTGGACTCGATCTTCCATTTTAGAGCTGAACAGTATTGACAAACAATAGAAGGAGAACCTATAAATACCTTCCGTACTGTACTGTAAAATCTTTATTTATCTCAGAATATTCTTTAATGGACCATCTATTCTACGTCCCACTGCTATTATTTTATAAATTATGTCTTAAATGCCTATGCCTGAAATGAACACGGTCATTATCCAAACGGACTTGTCTATCTTCAGGCATTTCTGTTTCTTTTTGAGCATTATCTTAGTAAGGTAACCGGAGCCCAATTTTCAAAAGGTTGTCAACACATTTTTAACTCTCGGGTGTAGCCGATGTCCATTGGCGGCGGTATTCACTTACCATCAGGTGAACCGTCTGCTCGTTTGGCAACATTTCACATTAAAAAAAATGTAAGCCAAAATGTAGCATATTATGATAGGACACCCAAAAATACAGTGATATTTTGATATTTTTATGTATGTATTGTGTAACTAGATGGCAAAACGAACTTAGTAAAAAAGTAAAATAAAATATATAACATATTTTAAAACCTTATATTTAGTTATAAAAGATGATTTTTTTAACTAGGCCTCATATTTCAAATACACCTAAAACATAAAAAAATAATTATCATAATGTTCATTTCCGCAATTTACCAATCCTCTAAATTAAATAATGGCACAGAATTAAAATTAAAACATTATGGACGTTTTCTTTACGTTTTTCAATGTAGGAAAAATTAATTGTTGACTGTAACGTCTTTCTTGGGAACAAATCATAATTGTTTAGTGCAACTTATAAATAGGTACTAAAATGCAAGTCTCAAGTGCAAACTATTTTAATGCATTAATTATAAGGGAATTATGCTAAACTAAAATATAACTTAAACATCTTTACACAAATAAAGACTTTGTACATACTTTTAAATGAAACTTCCGGTTTATTCTTTGAATACATTTCGACATTGCTTTTGTCATATATCTTATACACTACAATAGATAAATTACAAACTTTCAATATTCGCAGCTTGCTAATACTATAATTGATTTAATATCAATAAATAAACAGATCTCTTTCGCCTAAATTTTAACCTCACTATATTTAGTTACGACCTTAGGCCTACATAAGAATCAAACAGCAAATCGCTAGCGAAATCAATTTCCATCTAGTCTAGTAGTATACCTCTACTAATATTCTAATTGTCGTAATGGTTAACATTAAAAGTCTTCAATAAATCTTCATCTAATAATCAAGTGTATAGAAAGTTCAGCCGAATACGTAAGTTCAAATGGTAACGAACGCCTTAAATCGTTAAGACTTAATGCTAAGGTATTCTAAAACTAACTACAGTTTAACTGACATTATTGCAACTCTCACCATTAGTTTAGTAATTTGTTACAAATCCAAATAGGCAGACATAAATCAAATACTTAGTTCAGATACATCATACACTAACCAGTTTCTAACGATCTAGCGTCGACTCGTACGTAAGATAGTGCATAACAACTGTCCTCGGTGACGTTATCTTAAAGTTACCACCCGAAATATTATTCAATATCCATAAACTTTTATGTCGGTTACAATTTCAAAGCTAGTACCAACCGCACGAAAAAAACATGCATCGATATTATATTAATATAAGTTGTAAAACAGCGTTGTTATCCACTATTGCTTAATATTAACAAGGAGAAAAAGTAATTTCCAAAAGTTGAAAATGACTTACGCACTCAAAAAGTTCTATCGAGCTAATAATACAAATCTTTTACAAAACATTTTTAACAATACATTACGTACGGACATAAGAAATATTTATAGCAACTGTTTAGAGTATAATTAGGCAACGATTCATTGACATACATGTGGAAGCTAGTGTCTATGAAATATTTGTATACAAATGGAAGATTCATTTTACCCATTGATATCGCGGAACCGTGTAATCGCTTAATTTACGGTTGAGCAAATCCAAATAAATCAGATTTAGAATATTTCGGCCGACTGTTCGACATTACGTTCCACATTATCGGAAGATCGATTGAATAAGACACATACATTTTCAATTTATGACATCAAGGCGTCACAGTTAACTCTAGCTAATGAAATAATTCAATAATTTCGCGACTCAGCTTAACAACACGCTTCTTGTTCTAATACATAATCCGAATCATAAAAATATAGATATTTATCTACGTTCCGTTACACATCCATGCTATTATATATATTCTGCGCATTCCATAATCGCAATTGTCTTTATTTTATAATTTCTATGCATATCCATCAAGAATACCGTACTTTTCTAAAATCTCGTACTTTATTCAGCAACGGCTATAACTCTTTCAAAAATCTGGTACAATAAAATGTCTTTTAAGCGTATTCATAACTCTAGCAAACGACTATGTTAACTATTAGAGATACTGTTTTTCATTTATAATTAGGGAAGGCTCTTTAAATTATCAATTAACGGTTGCATTTTTGTTTAACCCGATAAATATATGAACGATAAAGGCTTTTACGGCGAACAAGTCAAGATGATTTTCCGACAATGGCCATTAGACCGCTATAGTTAACATGTTTATTTCAACTAAAAAGTATATAATATAATCATGTATTTAATAAATTGTTAATAAATGTTTACGTGTATTTTTGGCGTTATCGACAACTGTGGTCGATTCATATTTTAATTGAATTTTATAAACTATTAGGTGCTTTTTCGGTTATAAACGTAAAAATTAATATAAAGTAAGGTTTGTTAAAATCTAAAATAGGATAAAACTCGCAGTAACACTTTTGAAACTGGAAATATAACACCACACAAATAGAAAATTCATGAATATAGAAATATCGTCACATCTAATGAAAGTAATTCAAAAAACCATTCAAGAAGATTTTTTATAAAGTGATATCTGAGATTCTATCATCACACTAAAACTCATCAAGATTATTGAAGTCATTACAACTTTAAACACTATAAGGAATAAGATTAAATTCTCAACGGCAACTAAAAAAGCTGTAAATACATATAATAGATATAGAAAAGGATTTTATTACAATATTTTATCTATCAACAATTTGATGAGGAATGTTTATCATATATTTATAATAATTCTAATACTCTTTTTATAATAATTTTCTGTATATTATAAGAAAATAATATCTTTCTCGGAACATCCTACCCAGTTGTAAAAATCTCACTTGGAATCCTTAAGTGTTTTCCTTATCAAGCTTGAAATTCAACAACACATCGGTTAATGACTCACGCTACTATATAAACTTCTCGACAATTTGGAGATTACTTTAAGAATAACACAAGCAAATGGTACAAACAACAGTGCTTTCAAAGCAATCAACGGACAAATTACGATAATGTACGGACCATAATAAGATGGCACATTGAAAAGTTTTGAGCCTAAGGTTGACATTTAAATTCAAAAGAAAAAATTATACTGGCACGTAATAGCCATTTCTTTTTTAATTATCATATGCTGGTTTTTGTTTTTCTTCTGTCAAAATTGCAAAATTTGTGATCGATTTAACAATCGCAGTTCGCGGTTTCCGTAGAAATGGATAAAATTGAGCACCGTTCCGTCATAAAATATTTACAAAAAAAAAGGATTAACGCCAAAACAAATTTAGGAAGATATGTACGAGACTTTGGGGCAATCTGCTCCATCATATGTCACTGTCGGGTGGTAGATTTCAAACGTGGCAGAGAAATAGTGCAAGATGAACCTAGTAGTGGCAGGCCGCCGACGGATACGACAGACGAAAATACCATTAAAATATTAAACCTGATTATGAATGACAGGAGATTGAAGATTGCAGAGATAGCAGAAGCAATAGGCGTTTCCTATGAACGAGTACAGAACATAATTTCCAACGATCATAGATTTTCTAAGGTCTCTGCCAGATGGGTAGCTAGACTGCTTTTAGCCGAAAATAAACGATCTGTTTCAATGGTCCTCAAGGTTTTCTTAGCCGTTTCGTAACTATGGACGAAACTTAGGTCTTAACTCACCACCAGAGTCCAAAATACCACCCAAGCAATGGAAAAGAGCAGGGTCGCCGCCCCCTAAAAAAGCTCGGGCCGTTTTGTCAACCAAGAAGGTAATGGCTTCAGTTTTTTGGAACTGTAGAGAGAGGGGGGTATTACCTTGAAAATGGTAAAACCATAAATGCGGACTATTATTGCAAACTCTTAAAACGTTTGCGTGAAAAATTAAAATTAAAAGGCCTGGTATGTTATCTAAGAAAATTTTGTTGCACCAAGATAACGCTCCTGTCCATACTGCGGCGAAATCAATCGCACAAATACACAATTGTAGCTTTGAATTGTTGCCGCATCAATCGTATTCACCGGACTTGGCACCGTCTGATTAGCATCTCTTCCCCAAACTAAAAATGATTTGATGAAATTCTTTTTTTTAGAAGGAATACTAAAGCTAGAGACATGATGGCAAAAGTGTATAGATCATTCTGCAGACTATGTAGAGAAATAAAATAATCATTTAGAAAAAAAATCGTTTTTTTTAAAGTCGGGCTCAAAATTTTCCAATGCACCCTCGTACAGTTCACTACTAATGACCGACCTGGTATTTCGTTTTAAAATAAGAAAGTATATACAAATGTTAAATGAAGCTTCTAACCTGTTATAAACAAACCGAACTAAAAATCATCAGCTCATATACCTAACCGTGGGAGAAATTATGTTTTTCTTAGTGGTATACAATTACATTACGACTATAGCATATTTACATCAGATCTCACGTAATTATTTAAACTTTACTAATTAGTCAACAAGACAGGCCTTCGGAATATATCTAACCATTGATAAATGTTCAATAAGCCTCCCGAGCTAATAAACTACAGTAAACTTTGATGGATTTTAACAATTACTATTTAACTATAACACTTAACTTCAAAAAACGGTGCTAGACTGATAATAGGAAGGCCAAATTCATTGTCATTCGTAAAACTTACCACGCAGATTTAGAATTATGTGCGTATGAAATATAATAAGATATGTCGTGTTTGTTTAATGGATGTGAGTGTTTTCGTTCGTTTTTTCTTGGCACCTACGACTATTTTCTATGACTAATTGTATATTGCCAGTAAGAACAGCGAAAAGAAAATCAAATCATTGTAGATAGTTCAAGTTGCCTTAGAGCCATTAAATATTCTATCTTTGAATACGTAGCAATAGTATATTTCAAAAAGATAATACAGCACCTCCCAGTAGTTAAACATACATACAGAGATAATATTATAGATCGACTTTGATACAGATCGGAGATATCATGAAGTTGAACCGATGTACAGTCGAGCACCTATTTAAGATCGTACAATTCCGAATGAGATTCAATGTAACGCGGCGCGATGATCCGTCCGGAGTCGACGACCGGCGTGAGTAGGTCCTCGGAGGGCACTTGTATCCTTATCCTGTTGTCGGACGGCCGGTGCCCGCCGTTGGTGGTGTAGAACCCGAGCGAGGCGGGCTTGGTGGGGTGCTCCTCCGCGTACGCCATCATCTTCGCGGGGCTGATGGGGTGCAAGTGCGAGGGGCTCGCAGCGAGGGGGTTGTACGTCACGTGGATGCGGACCACGTCGTCCGACATGGGCGACACCGAGGGCGGGTGGGGCGTCGCGCGCGGGGTGGAGTGCGCGGTCGACGGCGCCCTCTGTATGCTCATCCCGCATATACCGGACCTGGAGGGCACACGAGGCCGCTGTTAGACGTTGAGTGCGCACGCAGCGGAGCCGCCGATGCGCTTCGCAAACGAACAATGCCCGCGGGAGAAGGAAAACACACGGACACTCGTTATCACTAACGGTTCAACGATGAAGACGTAGATTGCAGAACTTAAACATTATTAAATTTAGAATTTACATTCACTAATTTAATTTACATTTACGGCACAGGACAGTTTTATTATTGCCGTGCAAACTTCACCACGGCCTCACGTTAAATAAGTATTGGGGGACTGAGAGCGAAGTAAGTAGCTTACGTATTCGTGTTTAGACCATTGTAGGCCTTAATTAGCTATGCAAAATATTAATTACAATTAATTAAACTTCAAACAATCCTGCGAACTCCAACAAGGGATGTGTTTGCGAAACGCCACAACGGTTCTCCGTGACAACGCATTAATTAAATTAGTGAACCTACTCGATAATTAGATAAGCTGGTGCCGCAAAGCTTTTCACTAATATATAGTATAGATAGGTATAGGCGAATAGGAAAGAAAAAGCAGTAAGGTGTTCCGGTGGCAATAACACGTGTTATGCAGAATAACACGTCCTCTAAATGGGTATAAATCAATTAACATGTATTATATGGCCTTCAATGCATTTCCCTTTGCTACGTGCGTTGTTCAAATGTAGCTATACACATGTCTGTTTAAAACAATATCGGTATTTCCATATAAATTTAATTTCTATTTAATGAGGTGATATCATACATGACTGCCACGAAACGCTTAACTGCTATGTGAGTCTAATCTAATAAAATCAGGTTTACTTCTAAAGCATAGCAATGAATTATTCGGGGAATAGAAGATTTGATGAAAATAACCGATATTATATAAAATTCCATTTTATATAATAAAGTGAAATTTTATCCACGTGAAATTACGCGATAATGAAGCACTGAACGTTGTATGATGTTGGTTTTAATTGAAAACATTCAGTTTTTAATTAGCTAACAATTTAATCACTAAAATATCAAAATAATCAATAAAATGTCTTGGTCATTTAATTTTCGTCATAGATTTTAAAATGAAGATTCTGAGCCTTTTCTCAGTTCTTTACGAACTTGAAGGGAATCTAGATTTTTTCCAAGGGATGTAATTATAATAATCTTGATTAACCTTAATTGTCAAAAGAAAATGGCGCCTTAGCTTAAACTTTACGTTATCGTCGAATGTAGTTTTAATAATATAAACTAATTACCCACGAATTCAGCCCACTAAGCGTGAACCTCATTCAATAATCACCAAAGCGGTTTCAGCGAACTTTCCAAGCGCTATTTGCACAAAGCTTCTTAATTAAAGTATATTTCCCACGCACAGGATTTTTTATGACCAACGAACAGCAAGCAAAACTAGATAGTTAAGATCTTAATGGCTATGGCCTGACATATATGTATACATAAACAGCAATTAATTATGAAGAAAAAAATGACTTCTCATAATAAATAACGCATGATCCCGTAACCATAATGTTAACTCCTTATGAAAATGCTTAGTTTTTTTCATATAGTAAATTCGACAAAGATAATGACGTGGCAATTCAATGAGCCGCTTGGTTATGGTAACGACCACATTTTGAATACGGTGTAGCAGTACAGTGAAACCGAAACATAATCTAATCTAAAGGGGTTCAAGCCAACAACCTATGTAACAGAGGTTGCGTCTGTGACGCGTATGTGTCTGGTTCGAAACGTCGCCAGTGTCGCAAACCACTCCTAGAACAAGATTAAATTATATTTTATGTAACAATAGTTTCTTCCTCACGGCATAAAAAAATGTTACAAGGCATTAATTGTCGGAACGTGCATATTAAAAATTTTGCGTCGCAACTAATAGTGATGTATGCATACATCTGTCTCGCCAATTTCATTAAAGCCGCACACAGTATGCCAACATTGGGAACTGACGTTAGTTGACATTGGGCACCGTCGGGGCCGTGTTAATTTCGTCACGTTTTAGACGCCGCTCGTCTACGGGGAAACATCTCACCCATCTGACCCAGTGCCGTCGTCGCTAACGTTGCTGTGCGTGTCGAGCGAGTTGTCGGGCGCGTGCGACCGGCCGCTGGAGAACACGCTGAGGTCGGCCGTGCTCGTCACGCTCGTGTCGGCCAGCGAGCGCCGCGAGCCCAGCGCCGACACAGAGTCCTCGCAGCGCACTCCGCTGGCGACGCCGCTGTGCTCTGCCGAATGCACACCGCCGCGCGTCACGATTTCTTTTTAACAGCGCGACCGCCGGCCACGCCGGCACCGGGCAGCCCGATCCGTAAACGGAACGCACTCAAGTCATATGTCAAGTTCATATTTGGAATTTCGCAATGTACCTTTTGGATTTAAGCTCCCATTTTGAAATTTCGTTCGGCCAACATATTTTGTTTTAAATAGGAGCAATTTAACGCGCACGCCACACGACAGCTGTCAAAATGTTATAGCCAAAGTCAAGAATTGCACTCTTGTATCGTTGAATTTGTATTGTTAAAATCTATTAAGTTGGCAATATCTCACACATTTTATTGTCACTAACTAGCAATTAATGTAATCGGTGAATAGTACCTTACTTAGTAATTTCTTGAGAGTACTCACATATTAGTAATCACATATTTTTGTAGTTTTATTTAATTTTTATTAAGGAATAAATATTTGGGTACACTCACAGGTTTCCATTTAATAAACGGTTTAAAGGATATTTTAAAGTAATTCCTGTAATTTACTTTCAATGGAAAGTCAATTACGTAAATAGTTCCTGTAATGGCAGGAATGATTTACATTACAGTGACATGTTTGAAAAATAATTCGAGTTATTAGTCACAATCTTAATAATATCTGGGGTCAGTGGCCAACTAAAAGCTAACTATTACGTTTTGATTGGTACTAAAATATTATGCCTACACTTCGTAAGATATAAGATTACGTTCTAAGCCACAATTTTACATTATCCCACATTTCATATAAAGAAGCGACGTCAATATATAAAATATTATATAAATAACATGAATGACATGCAAAATGCAACTAACTGGTACTTACCAGATACACTTATCTGCCTTCCTTACTCATAAACACGCGGACACGCAAGCAAACTAATAAGCCTGTGCAAACAAGCGCACATGCATACGGCGTTATTTTCACGTAAAGAAACCTCTGCCCGTCTTGATGAAAAGTATTTGATAAAAAAATTATCCATGGTTTTTCTTAGTTTAATTCGTGTATACACAACAGAGTGACAGATCATGGTTCAAATTCAGTTTCTCCTTCCACGCTGCCTCGTGACTGTTTCGTGCCTGACGAGATAGCTTCTCGGTATAATGTCGTTCTTGAGAACGGGACTGAGGATAGGAGGTTCCAAATGGATGTCCATGGAGGCTTGGGAACTACGGAGCGGGGCACCACACGCGAGTTTATTTTCTGTAGTAAAGAGTTCAAATCTATAGGACGCACGTTTATAGGAATTATAGCACATTATCGTAGTATTAAAATAACAAAACAAGGATAAAAAATTGTTTGAATTTGAAATTAAAAGTCAAATTATTTAAGCAACATTTAAGTTTCTTAAAATAAAAAAAACTGAAATACTAGGAAGCAATACGTGCTCAAATTGTTCTTATTAACACTTGGGTTAATTTTTATTTTGAATAATAAAACGCTTGTGCAATCTGTGAGATGCGCGATTACTACAGATATTATGATATAAAATCTAATGTAACTCTATAACGTACCTATAATAAACTGATTTGAATGAACATTTTTATAATAAATGTACTGGTTTTCCTCAAACCATAATGGGCGGCAAAACTAAAAATAAAACGAGACCAATTTAACTCTCATTTTTACTACGGATACTGTTCAAATATACACGCTTTTGAGCCTTTGATTTGTAATTTCGTGGACTAATAAAATACAATGTTGTTGGGAAATTATTTAATTGCCACGTATGTATGATATGTTCGATCTCAATACTTAAATCTAATAAGAACAAAAGTAGTGCAGGTTTGCGTGAAATGACGTGTAATGGGGTGGGTTTATGTGATGGAATCGATGATACAATCAGATTATATTTCATCAATTTTCGAGCAGAGATTCTTTAAGCGAGTATAAACTAATCACGCGAACAAACAAGTGGCTTTACAATGTGTCCCGAAAATTGAGTCTGCGACGAAGTTAAAATAATTTACACAAGACAGACGTTGCATATTCTGTTACGAGGTGCCTGATAGCAAGTGGCGTCCATAGAGAATGCAAAAAGCGGTTTTGTGCTTCCCGAAATCCAAGGAGCAGTTTCCACTAAGCCGGATGCGAGGCCGCCGGGAAAGCACTCCTTCGACCGGAAGTCAGTGTGTTAAATGCAAACATGTGTTAATCATTACATAAACCCACCGCCGTACCACCGAAAACCATGCTTCAACATAATTATACATACTTCAAAAGTAAACGGGTACTAAATAGCGTAAATGTAGCTCAACTGATTATTAAAAAAAATGGCAAGCAACCAAAAAACAGGCGTTCACAATACGAGTACGACGACACTCATATCGACCATAGCGAATACGAACATGTGTTGTGCAGTGGGAATAACCTTTTGTAGTTAATGTTAGAATTAGGAAATAAGCAATGTTGATTCATCGCAGAGTCAATTTCACTAAATATACCTTCATCTACTGATTACACTCGAAGTCTAAAACAGATAAGTAATCCCTCAATCGAGACACGATTACATAGTGTAAAAAAATAATTAGAGTTGTTATTAAATGAAATGCCTATAGAAAAGTTAGATCACAAATGTTTAATTTTGTTTGGTCAGAATTAAAAAACTAAGCAATTCCCAAAATCCATTTTTAGAGCATTTCAACTGCTTGTGCATATTTCTAAATTGTACGTGAACAATATTGGCCTTTAAACGAAACATTTTAGTTTAACTTCTTTATAACGTGATTTTATTTCTACTCCAATGAAAAACACAGGGGTGAAAACACTGAATTGATTGAGGTCAGGTGTTTTTGACATGCTATTGTCAGTCAAGCACACTAGAAGAATCGATGCCAAACAGTTGGCCTTGGGCAGAATCGGTATGCACTTGTCAAATAAGTGGAAGAATTTCAATTCTGTACAAAAAGACTCTTGTACTCCGCTGTGAGAAAAATTATATGTGAAAAAATTAGAATCTCACTATGCTGTAAAGAGGATTTTTTTAATGTAAACAGCAATTCTTTTAAAAATGTTCACAGAGCTCGACAAATAAATTGCCGCTTTTCCGGTAAAAACAAACCGAATAAAATCCGAAGTTGTATACAGTAACTTTCAGTAGCCAACATTTCTGACATCAAAAATTCACTACCTCAAGACCGAAATTTCTTCGGCTTAGTAAATTACACAGTCTGATGATATATTTGGGTATTTTCCACTGCGTTACAACATGTTGGTATTTGGGTGTCGCAAATCCAACTAGGGTTCTTATCAATAATAACACTGATAAACATATGCCGCCCAAAAATAATCTGTAACATATATAGCAAATATCTATACATGTTAAACAATAACAAAATATGTAGATAAACAATTCGTAGTTAGCTTTTTATTGTTACTCATTGTCGTGTTTGCATTTTTGTCATCCTGCAGCCATAAGTGGTTAATATTAATATTGGTTAAACTTTGTCACTACCAATCTTTGGAATTATTTACAAAATTTAACATATATTGAAAAGGATGATTTTGGTATTGAATTATTGGAAACTGAACAAATTTGCGGCAAAAAAAAATACTTACAATATAACAGTAATATCTAAGGCGTGCTAAATATTGCAAAAGAAATGTAAGTATCATGGTTTGCACACATATGAAAATGTTGAAATTCAGCATATGGAATATATATAATATAATAATATAGAATATCAGCCGCAAGGGAAAAACCAACTTGAATTGTTGTAATATATAATTAAATAATAATGTTTGTCAATCCAGTTGAATGAAATTAATTGTTATAATGCTATAGTACCAATAAATAATTGTGGACTCCTGATGAATTTCCACATAGGGAAAATAAATCAATGGCTGATATAAATAAATTATCCTTACTTGATTGAGGTAAACTGAGCTAAATTAGTTTCTGAGTGCAGCATTCTTGTGAATTTAAGTTTAAGCTCTAGAGCGTAGTCCATTCTGCCATCAATTATTTTATGTCATACAAATGTTATATTCACAATTTGTACTTGAAATCAATCATTTACTAAGAACTAACTTATTTAATTCAATTTAAATATTATAAATAACAAAAGTTACGTCAAATGGAAACTTGCTAAATTGGTACTTAAATTAAAATAAGCAAAAATGAAGATGTATCACTGATTCCTAATTTAACATAATCACACACAAGTTTAGATAAATATAGTAATGGCTTTATTCTTTTTTACTATACATAAAAAGCCTTAACTTGCTTTTTTTTTATTGCACATGGATGGACTCAATTGGCTTGAAAGAATGTTTGGTGAACACTTGGGAAGACTTTCACAAAATGCATGCATTGGTGATAATTTGCAAACTACCTTATAACACATACCTTCCTTGGCTTATGTTATAAGTACTATGCAAAACAACAAATAAATATCAAGTTACAATAGGATTAGAATATCCATTTGACGATGACACAATATTTTGGCCAGTAAAAATATGAAATATTAATCTACTTGCATATTATTTGTTAAATATACCAGTAACCTTCTTTTGTGTGTAATAACTATAATTTATATGCATTTTATGCATAATTTAAAAAGTAAGTGATGAATGCCATTAAGAAAATGTAGAATATTTTATACTTCATTGTTTAATATTGTGTTACCGTGAAAAGGTACTTCATAGATGTGTAACATGGTCAGAACCTAGGCTCTCATCCGAGGTGGTACGCGAAGTGGGTGGAGAAGCGTCCAAATTACCTGAAACTGTGTCGCTCTGTGACACTCGCAGCTCTTGCAATTCCAATGCGGCCTTTTCCCGTCTGTAATATTAAAGTCATTTGAAAGCATAAATCTGATGAAATGACTTTTATTGTTTCATTGTCATAATATGATGTGAATGTTTATGTATCAAACCTCAAGATGACGGTTGCTCGCGCCTGCTTCTCCGTATCGGAAAAATTTTCAGCACGCTGGCCAATTTTAGACTTTTTATCAGGCTCCACAAACAAGCCGAGTGGTCGCTTAGGCAGCTCATTTGGTGGGGGTTGTCCAGGATAATCCAGCTTGGCACGCTTCAATTCTTCCATGGAACGCTCCAAATGGTAAATAACAATATCATCTTCATAACCAAAATCTTTGTGCAGCTTTACCTGCCAATAAATATGTATTTGTTACATTTTATAACATACATTTTACTTGTTCTAACAAAGATTGAAATTAAAACTTACTTGAATGTAATTAACAATTAAATCCATATCATTTAACTTCATAATTGCCTTTTTATGCAATTTTAATATTGTATAGGCCATTGCCGTAATAACTCTTTCTCCATCAAGCAGATATATATCCCAAACTCTCAAACATAAACTAAATGGAACTCTTTCCACAAAACACACAAAAAACCATTTAAGAGAATAGAGTATTGCATCTAATCCAAATTTGTCAAAATGATGCTTTAGTTTTGGCATAAATTTTGTGAGTATCTTGTCATGGTGCTCCAAAAATCTAGTTAACTTTGGGAAACCTTCTATGTACAGGCCATGCATCGCATACCTCTTATCCGACAAGAGTACAGCAAGTGCCCAAAACGCATCCTCCTCATCCATATACATTAATAAAACACCAGCTAAACCAGACATGCCTTGGCAGTAGCCAACTTCTGAGTTGTACATGCTATATGCACAAAGTACATTAAATAATGAACATTGCTTCTCAGAATACCGTTCTCGATAAAATTGATGTTCACGAAATTGCCTATTAACATCTGAATCGATCTGTCTTACGTCTGTCGACCATTGCTTCGCTAATTTAAGCATTTCTTGATATTTTCCAACTTTCTCAGATTTAATTTTATTTATATCCAATAGTTTACACCATACATTCATGCGTAACGATAATGGAATGCCTTTGTATATTCTCTTATGCAATTTTTCTTTTGTAGCTGGAGAATCCCATTTAGACAACATCTTAACCCATTTCTTTTCTCTTTCCACCTCAGTGTTGACTTTTTGTGGGGCTGTTTTCTGCAGCAAACGCTCATCATGTATAAAGCCATATCTGAAAATATTTAAAATGAGATGAAGAAGATCCTTTAAACATAAAGTGTAAATTGGATGTGAGTAAAGCAGCTGATAAAATTTTGATAATAATAATTCTGGTATTTATTTGAGAAACAGTACATTTACCTGAATCAAGATGAGAGGACATAAATTATGTTAAAGATGTTATAGAAAGGTGGAATAGATATTAATGAGAACTATTACAGGTATCTGCTTTAATTGTTCTTATCATCTTATAGTGATAAATTCTTTCATTTTAAAAAGACTTAAGCAAGACGCAAGGCAAATCTACAAAAGGTCTGTAACTTATGTAAGTCCAGAACTTAAGTTCAACATATCCCAAAATATGGAAAAATAAAATAAGAAAACATCATGAGTAATGACTTTGGTGTTGTTAATGGAGTTGGGTTTCTTACTCCTCTACAATGCAATACATAGAGAATTTTATATATAGCATGACAACAGATATATGTAAAGCAAATAAATAATATATTGATGGAATTGTTCAATTCATAAATTCGCCAAATTATTGCAGAGTGCCAGCTACCAACGAAATATTCCAAATATTGTAATATTATAAGTTTTATTTCAAGGAATTCCAACAACTAATGATAATAAAAACTATAAAATAAAAAGATTGGAAGCTACAAATAAGACACCATAAAGTAATACCAATTATATTAAAAAAATATGTAATTACAATTTATACTGCTGTGCTTTCAATTTTAAAACATTCATTTCATAATGATCATAAATTACAACTGCCAAATGCTCTTCATAAAGTAAATTAATATGCAGAATAACCTTTTTTACTAACGAAAAATAAAACTGACTTCTAATATGTCGCTCTGTATTAGTTTTATAATTGAGTTCCCAAAGTATCTTCAGAGCCAAATACTAATGAAGTGCTTCCCACTTTATCAGCTTTCAAATAAAAAAAGAAACATCGAAATTGCTTTACTCAGTCAAAAGTTCTGAGGTAACAAACATAAAAAAAAATACAGTCAAATTGAAAACCTCCTCCTTTTGAAGTCAGTTAAAAATAAAGAAATACAGAAAAGTAAACATATTTGTAATTTTCAATCAAGCTAAAATTATATCAGTAAAATAGTGTGAAAAATTGAATATCAGTTAAGCTAAATGACACTGCTTACTTAAAAATAAGATAGGCTTAAAAAATACAGTAACAAAAAATAAATAAGATAGTAAAAAATTAAAGACATTTCCATATTAACAAGGAATTTAAATATTACAAGTATTATTAATTTGTAACAATTAAAAACATTTCGCAAGGCTAATTAATTATGTATTATATATTAATTATGTAATATACCTACATCATTCTCAAATAAAAATCAGTAACCAAACATGTAATGGACTGCAACTAGCCTTTTTTTCAAAGCATAAAAACTATAAAATTAATTAATGTTCTACCATACCTATCAGTTTTATGATACTCTTCAAATTCAGGATCCTCCCAAGGGTCTATTTGCCCAACAAGATTTTCTCGCCCCCTTTCATATCTTTGAAAGATACGCTCCCGCTCCTCGGAAGCCCGTGCCAACAGTGCCTCCTCATTCATAACACAGCCTGATTGTGCCACATTCCGAAAGACCTACGCGACCCACAATCGTTTAACGACCCACTAATACAATATAACTTACTACAAATGGTATAATATGAACTACATCTCTGCTCTCGTTTAAAATCATGTATCACAGTTATTCACGCCCTCCTATGAATTTAAATTCGATAATAACTTCAAAAATCTCTGGACGCTATTTTAAACAATTTGACTACACCACAGAACCATAATACAATTTGACAAACCAAGGACATAATTACAACGCGAAAGATTTAAAACATTCAAAAATATGTTTAAGCAGTGAAAATTCGCGCTAAGTTTTTAAAATATAAATCATGACCCACAAAAAAAAATACGACGCAACAGAAACAATCGTTTCATTGAGAATTGAGATGACGACAAAAACTTCTAAAATATGTATTCTTCCATAATTCGAAGTACAGATACACGCATGTCCGCCCCGCCCCTCCGACTTTTATGCTTTAGTTCCACTATAATTGATAATGGCAGTACCTATACTCTTTAGATCAAGTATTTACATTAAATGCTTAATAACAGAAGTCCAATCTAGCTATTATAATTAAAATACACTCTAAGTATGGCCTTACATATTTTCGAACGTAGGTAAAATTTTAACTCTATATTACCATTGCGGTAGTAAATACGGTCGTGCTAATGCGGCAACACATCTCAATTAACACACATTACACTGAAATGTTGCCTGTTATGTCAGAAACTATAAAAAATATGTTCAGTCATGCATTAGTAATGCATATTTGCAAAAACGTGTGGTTATATATATGTAATCGTAAGCTATCATGCTTAACAGGTTTAAAATTTAGATTTAAGGGGCCCATATCCCTCCTGGCAGTACGCCGTGCCCTCTGCCGCTTTACGCAGGATTGTGAAAGTAATCCGTAATCGCAGCCTGCACGGTGTACGGCAACACCGAGCAGGCATGCCTCGCTCGGTGCAAGCTCCGCCCACCGGTCAATGGTTTGGCGGTGCTGCCATACGAAGAAAACATTATTCGTGAATTATGTGTACGCCTGTTACTGAGGTGTTCATTTGTTAATTTAATTATATGTTCTAACCTTTCATTGTACCTGGGATATGTTTTTAGAACAACTTTGTAATTAAAAACAAATTAATAATTAAATAAAAAAAAAGATGCACTAAGCCCCTATCAAAATTCATCAAGCTAATTTCAACTCTTCGATCATTATAACGTCTCCATCACCACGTTTGTGCACACCAACATCAAAGCAAAATTTTATCCTATTATCAGCTACTACTAAAAGTCTATCAATACTCTATACACGAAAAACATAACAACAAACTCTACATCTTACACAAACTGAGTTTAAAATCAGTAAAGTTTCACCAAATAAATTCCGATCCGATCATTATGAAATCTACATCGGCATCGCCTCTTGTTAGTAAAACAACACCTAATCTCTCATTCACATAAGCATCTGAAGATATACAGACTCAAGAAAGCAATTCCAATTCGATAAACATACTTAAAATTACTTAACACTTAAATATACAAAGTAGTAGTTGTACGTCATGGCAGTTTGTGTATAAGCTGCCTGTAGTTAAAAATAGTAAGGTGGCTGCCAGAATCCTTTGTAAAGCAGAAATACTATCACGCATAAAAGTATGTTGCTTGGCTGTAGTCATAAGAAGATACATACTACGATTTTTTTAATTACTCAAAAATACAATTTACGTATTTGTACAAAACAAATACTCTTACATAATATTCGTATATTATTCATTCGGTACACTGTAAAGGACATTGACTTTCGAGTTAAATACAAAACAATTAAAATAAATTTTAAACTATAGAAACAACTCATTAAGTGAATTAATCAACTCTTGAATGGTAGATGTGGCTAATGGGATCACTTTCAAGCCAAAAAGACACTTAAGGCCTGATAAGAAAACTATTTATTTCAACTTTGAACTTATTACGAAACCTAATCATTATGAAATTTATGCAAAATACAAGAGTTATGTCAGATAGCTAGACATGTTACTTTTTCAAACGATTTTTACGGAATCAATCAAATATGACAATTCAGTCTGAACAAATAAAAGTAACATTCCAAATTTAAAGTAATTCGAACATAATACATAAATCAAACAGGTCACAGTTGATATCAAAAGAGTTCGTATAATCTGAGATTACCAATCAACATCAACAAGTAGAATTCTCTGGTTGCCTAACAGATCTTAATAATCTGAATGCGGAATGATCAATTCAAAGAGTTTAACAATCTTTTTGGCAACTCACATTTGAAAAGCCATTTGACAGTAGATTAGTTTCTTTTTCTATGATTCTGGCATTTTGTTATTCTATAAGCCAAAAAGTTAATTAATAACTAATAAAGTTATCTAAGTGAACTTTCGTTTAGAGATGAGGCGTATATACTGCAACAGGTATAAATACCCAGTATGAACGTAACTACCAGTATGCAGACCGGGTATGTACGGCAGAGGCCCGTTCCAGACCCGATAGGTATTGTCGATATCGCTCGCGAGTACGCGGACCTAGCGCCGCCTCGTCAGACGGTGGCGGTATTTCATAGCGTTGGCGCTCGATCGCCTAGGGCATTTTATACGAAATAATTATTTATAAAATTTATTTAGATATTACTTATAAATTTATTTCTATGCAGTTAGGTAGACAAATAATTGCGTAATATTTATTTTGAATTACTTTTTTTTGGTAATATGGTTCTTTACGTTAGTAAAGATGGAGCTTATTTTAGACTGATTAAATCTCAATTTCAAAAAACTTATTGCTAAAAAAACATCTAAATGTTCCAACCAAAGGTTCAATTCGTTTGATTCGATTGAGTCTCCAAAAGGAGGCCTGAACATAACTAATACCTATACCTTTGATACCCGTACCTTTGAGGCCGGGTACAGAATGTTGCAGGTATATCTCATGCCTACTTCTGTTAACTTCTACGACCGTTTCTGAAAAACTGATCATCGTAGAAGGTAACTAGTCAGCTGTCAAATGGTTTTTCAAATGTCATTTGAGTTGCCAAAAGGAATAGTAAACTCTTTGAATTGATCATTCTAATCATTAAGAAGGTCGTTCTGATGATCGGTGTTTCAGAAAACGGGCGTCGGTGTTTCAGAAACCGGGTGAAAATGTTTTAATGGATTGATTGTCAGTTCATATTATGATATCTAAATAACTATAGACGCTTCATACTAGTCGAAAAGTTGAAGTCGGCAGCTTCGTAACTTACTTGTTTTTATCGTTGGCATATCATGTTGTTATATTTATTTGCAATATATTTTTCTTTCATATGAGCAAAATTAAAATAATGTATAAAAGTCCTCCATAACGATTTAGTATTTACTACTTACGGTGGCTGTGTGAGTCTCCGGCATTTGCCTCTGATTGAAGTTTTATTAAAAACTTATGAAGTTTAATAAATAGAACTTCCGAACTATTTTTTGTTCACTCACTGCCACATTTTATCATTCTCGTACTTGGTATAATTGACGTATAAATTAATACCAGTTGTTTCTCTTTGTTTGATCGCCGTACAGAGTACTCTTCAGTGCAAAGTCCACGAGACTTTGAACTTTGTAAATATTTTCTTAACTTGAGAAAGTTTTTTTTCTGTTGGAAAACTTTAATTGAAGAATATTAAATATGAATCCTATTTCACAAGTAAGTATGTCCACATAAAATCGTCTTAAACGAACTAGGATAGTTAGATCGTTAACTTACAGGAAAGTTGTTGTTTTACTTTACATAAATTACTTTAGAAATCTGAAGCTGCTGATGCTGATGAATGCTGTATAAAAATAGGTCGAAAAAATGTTCCATCAAATTATAATAATTATTAAAAAAATACTTTTTAAATGTGAATTTCCTAATTGTAAGATCTTTGATGAATTAAGTTATTTTATCGTCTTTCAATGACTTCAATTAATATTTGGCAGGCTGCTACATTGATATAGCAAAAAAAATATTTAATATTTATATACATGTATGCTTTAATTTTATGAATGAAATGACATGAAAAGCATATCTTTGTGTGTATTATTAAAAATTATGTAATTTTTAAATATAAATTAAAATTACAACCCATGTAAATTATGATTGTAATCCTAAAATCTCTTGTGTAAGGTAATGGAAAATTACTTTAGCACCTAGTCACACTTGTGATGCAACTAAAATTTAACTTAAAAAATTACCCCTTACATTTTTATGAGTTCACCTTAAATTTGTTCTGTATAATGAAGTTCAGGCTTATGAAACCCTATTAAATATTTTTTGGCCAAACTTTATAACTATTTACCTATATAACTTTACATATATATTTTTACTGTATGTGTTTATGTCACTGAACATCTCTTAAACGGCTGGACCGATTTCAATGAAATTTTTTGTGTCATCAGGTCGATTAGAGAATGATTTAGATTCACATTTTTTTTATATTATCAGATTTAAGTTGTGTGTACAGGACAATGTTTTGTCAGGATCGCTAGTTATTATATACATATATGCTTAAGATAAACAATATTTCAGCTGCTTTAGATATGATATGTATGGATAGGTATGTAATTTGTTTTAATAGTATAATAGTATTGTAATATGTTTATTGTTCAGTTATATATTATATCCTCTCCCCTCCAGACATGGCCATTCCAACTTTTTGTGTTTTGTTATGTATGTCCTATGCCCCTGAAGAAAATAATTTGAAATTTTTCACAGATCTGCATATGGTCTTATTCAATTTGATAGCTTTGCTAGCACGATTTTCGTGATAATTTTAATTTTAATAGGTAGGTAATAAGTCATTGTTGTAAATACTAGAAGGATTTTTTACAGAAATTTTTAGTTTTCGAGAAATTAATTTTTTAATTTATAGTTTAACTGATAGGAATCATCAATCATTTAGAACAGTATTGTTTCGTATTTAGGCCCTAAAGATTTACATAATTACATTCTAAAACATTAGAGAGAGAAAACTTGATGGTTATATCATCTTTTAACACATGTTATTCCAGACCGAAAAATTTTTTTTGGGTATTTATGGTAAATCTTTGCCTTAAAAAAGGGACTGAAATAGAAAATATAACAGAGGGTAATATATTTTTAATGGTCTTTCCAGCTGCTTAAGTTTTTTAATGTCTTCATTATGGTTGACAGCCCAATTCAGTGCAATCCGACACGGACAGGTTAGGTTAGAAGATTGAGGCCTTTGTGGTTATTTTTTTATAAACACCCAGGAATGGGAGCCCTTTGTAGAGGGGCTAAGGAAGAGCCTCCACCTACCGTCGCCTGATTCTAAATAAATACCACCATAGTAATGTTACTATGGTGGTATTTATTTATGTGTGTGGCATAGATTAGGGTTGATTTTTTAATATATTTCAGAAACTATACATTTCCGCATCCCCCCTCTTACAGGGGGGTTCACCACCGTTCTTAAATTGAGTATGCAATCTTTTCCTTTGTATAACATTTTGTATTTTATTAAAAGTCCCACATCTTTTTACAGTTTGTTCGTGCTACTCGTCCCATATACAGGAATTTGTCTACTTCAGCGTGTGTGGCTTCAGCGAGGCCAATTCCCAACACTGGTTTTTGTTTTGGTATGTCAAGTCATTCATATTTACATTCAGTACATTGGCTAGGCTACTAGTGGTAGGTATCACTAACAGCAATTGACCTACTACTTACCATCTTCACTACATAGTATAAAACAAAGTCGTCCTGCTGTCTGTCTGTCCATATGTATGCTTAGATCTTTAAAACTGCTCAACAGATTTTGATGCTTTTTTTTACTAGATAGTCTGATTCAGGAGGAATGTTTATATGTATAATACATGCATAATATAGTAGGGTGTACGCATAATATATAGAAATGTGTAGTATCAGCATTGCACCCGTGCGACGCCGGAGAGGGTCGCTAGTTGCTCATAAGAAAATATCATTTAAAGAAAAAATAAGTTTAAAAAGAAAGTTTTTAAGGAATCATTCCAGTGCTCTCCAAAATGCAATAGTTTTTTCACATTCCTTTTCTCAAATAAATTTTTTTAGAAATGTCCTGTACATTTACATTTCAACATGTCAATTTATTAAAACTCGATGGAAGATTTTTATATACTTTATATATTTTCATGTATATGTCTTAAATTTATGTATATATGAATATATATATAACTTTTGTTTTAAATTAAAATTTGGTTTGAAACTTTTTACACCTGCCTCTTTTGTCTCTGCGTCGCCCATAGGTTGACTGGTAGAGAATGCCTTAGGCATTAAGTCCGCCTATACACAATACTAATTTTTTTTGTGTAAAAGTTTAAATAAATAAATAAAAAAATAAAAGATTCGCTAAGCCGTTTATTGGCTTCGGTGTCAGGAGTCGTGATTTCGATTCCCACACATGACAAGTATTTGTATGACCCGATGATTGAGATGAAAATTGCTCCGGATCTGGGTTTGTTGCAAAGAATGGTTGGCGTCAGGCAGCCGGCCGTAAATAATCTACCCTATTGCATTAAAATGTGATTCATAAGTCGTGCCTATAAGGGCATGAGAAAGAAGAATATATTAAATAAACATTTTAATATTCAATAAACCGATTGGCGATATAGAAGAGAATTCTGAATTTTTTAAAAGTAATATTTAAGCTGTTGCTATTTAAGCTTACGAATTACTTTGATATGATCGTACGATGTTTTCTTTATTTACCCAAAAACTATACATCGAAAAATAAATCCAATTCAGGGATTTTATCGCGTTGTTGTTTTCAATTCCCGACCTTTGAAACGCTTGCTCAACGGCTCCTCTTAAGTGTTAAAAGGTCTGAAGTTATGTTATACCTGCAATTAAGTTTTAATCAATAAGTATCTGCCATTGTTGCTAATACAATATTGCTGTTTCAATAGTTCAGAAATAAGTATTAATATAACAGAGGTAGCAGAGCGTATAGCTTATAGCAGACGTAGTAGCGTATAGCAGACAGAGGGTATTAGGGCATAGTCCACTGCGGATTGGCGGACTTCACATATATTCGAAATATATATATTTTATTATTATTTCGAAAATATTCCCTCACGATGTTTTCCTTCACAGCGGACCACGTGATAAGTCTGCACTTAAACTTAAAAACTTCGTTCGTGCCGGCACCGGGGATCGAACTCGGGTTGCTCGAGTTTATTGAATTAAAGACGAGCGCCCGGACACTCGGCTAGTACGGCCATGGACATGTGTCATCTTTGTTATAACATCATGATTCATAATCCGATGTAAATGAATTTTAACCATTTCGTTACTTGCGTCGTACACCGCTACTAATTTCGACGAGGTTGAATTTAAATCTGCTTTAAACGATGGCTATCATTTAATTGTTGAATACTTTCGTCTTTCTTCAAATACATTTTGAGAACGGAAGCTTTTAAAGCAATTACCCTTATCCATGTATGTAGGTACGTCACTTTGTATAGCATTCCATGGTCCACGACGGAATTCGTATCCGAAAGTTAAGTATATTTTCGTTTCCCCATTAGACACAAAAACAGCGAAACAAATGAATAACAAACCAAATGAATAACCGTTCTTTTATATGAAAACACATGTCACATTATAATCTTTCTTGACACTTCATTAGTATTCTATTACTTCATAGATAAGAACAATTTTTATTAGTAACTTCGCAACCAGTGGTATATTATGAATACAGTTCATATACATTGCTTTTAACCAGCATAAGGCTATAAATAAATTTTTGGCTGAATGCCGCCTTTTTTAAACGGTTTTATTTAGCTCGACCCGTACGGAATTTGTTTGTTTGGGTCAAAATTATAAATTGAAATTTAAGCACCTTGCCGTTGTCAGATTGATCTGAAATTTGGTACACACATTTAATTTAGATGACAATACAATATTAACAAAAAAAAATTTAACAAAAAAAACATAAAATAAAACCGTTTAACTTAAAAGTTTTTAAACGGTTTTATTTCATTTGTCACCAATTTTTTTATGAATTTAACATTAGTGTATTATTAGGTACATTTAATGGATTATTATAATCTAGTCAATACCACATAGGAGTAGGTGATAAGATCATTTATCAACCAAGTAACCTAATCTCTTACTGATATTTAGTTTGAGTTTCTTTAGACTCGTCGCATAACAATCTAATGGACAAAATTTCGTATACTCGTAGTGTTATTTTATTGTTAACATCATTATCACCGTTCAAACTTATCACCGTTTCTGCATGTGAATTTTTATAACTCAATTTTATCGTAGTTTAAATGTCTATATAATATAAATTATGATTTTAATTAAAAATAACGATGTTTGTGATAAATTTAGTACCATTTAATTCGTTAGTGGTGAAATATTTTAAAAATTTATTTTTAACTGATTTAATAATAATTTTTTTACTTAATAAGCAGTACCTGGATGACCGAGCTTTGCTTGGTATTTAAAAAAAAAGTAAAACCAATAAATGATGGTGATATTAACCGCGGGTTTCTGTTTTCGAAATTAACCGTCATTTTCGAATGATATTTTTCATTCCCTGAAAACAGGGATAAAATGACATTTTCTAAAAATGAAACCTAGTCAGATCGATTTTTCGCCCCCGAATCTACGCACATACTAAATTTCATGAGAATCGCTGGAGCAGTTTCTGAGATTCCGATTATATACAGCGTGTCGAAACAAACGCGACAATAAATGAACACACATATAAAGGATAACTTTTTAAAATAGTATTAAACATTTACTTTCTTTAAACATCAATATTTACCGAGTTATTAAATTTTCCAAAACAAACAATTTTAGAACACCCTTAACCCCACTCTAAGGTTGAATGAATTTAAAAGAGCTAAAACATACTGTTAGAAGGAGAAATCATTAGTGCGACGTTGAGGCAACGAATAAAAAAGGTTCTGAATGTATGAATCAGTCAGTTGTAGTTGTTTAGTTTGTTTGAAAAATATTTTTTTAAATTATGGATATTTTTTACGTTTATATTTTTTTTATGTTTATTGGCAAGTAGCGTTAGACGTGTGTTCATTTATTGTCGCGGTGGTAACGACACGCTGTATATACCAGAATTGCTCGGCATGCAATGCCTTTCTTGTATGTTACAAAGATGTGAAGAAATAAATACTAACTGTCAAAACGTAGGTTTGTAATATTTCCATAACTGGAGTAGAACCCAGTGGCGACATCTGATTTTAAAGCAGAAGACCTTCATTTCCGAATTTCAGACAGACACTTCGTTATTATTTGTTTATATTTGTACTTGCGTAGAAAAATATTCAATGTTAAATATTCGTGATAAAAAGTCCATTCAGTAATCTACGGCCATTGCACTCATACTCATACTTGGCCCAGTTTGATTGCGACTTGTTTTGGTATGAGATTTAAAATAATGTTATTGCATGCATAAATACAAGTTTTGTTTTTTGTTTTGACGTGTGAGAAAATAGTTGTGGAAACTATTATTTTTTCTGCGAAGGGAGATCGCATTACATGTCCAGACAGAAGTCTGATCAATTCAGAGAGTTACCAATCCATTTGTCGACTCAAATTAAAAATCCAATCAATTGAAAAATCCATTTTGATTAGTTGACTTCTACGAAGATCAGTTCTGTGAGTATAAAGGATTTTAATTGTAATAATTTGAAAACAATCTTTTAAGAAATGTAAGAAACAAAATATTTCAGATAATTAATATTATTGTATCAAATTGTTCCCTTCCTTCATATGAAAAGTCACGTAATAAAAATAAATTATTGTTCCAAAATCCATTAAATGCTATTTTTTAATTGAAATAATAAAAAGTGGTGTTCTTAGAAAATGGCAAAAAAGGGGTTTTTAGGTTCAACCGAGAATCGAACTCGGATTGCTGGATTAGTCCAAAGTGGTACCATTACACCATGTCACCACTTGGAGAAGGCTACGGATTTATGAATCTTTTCGATATGATCGTACGACTTTTTCTTTATTTACACAAAAACTAAACATTATTAAATAAATGCATTTCAGGGATTTTATCGCGTTTACTGTCGGTCCAAATTCCCGACCTATCAACTTGCTCAAGGGCTCCTTTTAAATGTTCAAGACATCGGAAGTTGATATAAAAGTAAATTGCGATGATATCTTCAAAAATATTTATTTACCAATTAATACTATCATTTGCATAACTTATATAAATATTATACATACAAATATATTATGTACCTATGAGATTTGCGATAATTTCACTAAAAAAATGCCGTGTTTAAAAAAATTTAACTAGTATTTAAAAAAAAGTGCGAGTCGGACTCGCGTACGAAAGGTTCTATAAAAATGACAAAAAATAATATCTGTTGTATGGGAGCCCCACTTAAACATTTTTTTAGTGTTTCTTTGTATAGCGGCAACAGAAAACATCATCTGTGAAAATTTCAACTGTCGTAACTAACCATCACGGTTCATGAGATTGATGATGAACAGACTGACAGACAGACAGACAACGGAGTCTTATTAATGTGGTCCCGTATCACCCTTTGAGTACGGAAACCTAAAAGAAATTATCTGTGATTATGGACAAAACAATTTAACCATTTTGATGGTACTAAAGGAATATTTGATGAACTCTTGAAAATTTTACACATGTAATTATCCGAAAAATAATGGAAATAAGTTACAGCATCATCTCTCCCGTAGGCCCGGGCAGTAGTCAATATTTACTGAATGTATAAAGTAACACTTAACACAACAAGGATTCTACAATTAAAATAATTTGCATCGGCGTTTTATGAATATAAAATTAAAAAATCGTTTTGCACAACTAATGTTTGTGAGGGCAAATGAATTTGGCATGGTTCTTTAATTTTATTTTGATGGTAGAAGAGTTATTATACACATTTAGGAGTTCATTAGGTATATTTATTATTGATGTGAATATTACAATGATAATTTTGCCATTTACAGTCGCAGTTTTATTACAATTAGTGTCGAAACCTTCACAGAGCTCAATGATGAGCAAAAGGCGCTCCAGGAACTCGCACGCAAGTTTACCAAGGAGGAGATCGTCCCAGTGGCCGCCCAGTACGACAAGACCGGGGAATACCCGTGGCCCATAGTGAAGAAAGCGTGGGAGCTGGGCCTAATGAACGGGCACGTCCCAGAACATTGCGGTAATGATATTCATTACGATCCTTTGACCGTCCTCCTCACAACTTGTTGGGGCCGTACAATCAAAAGTTTAATCCACATTTATATTCGTGATCCCGTAAAGGCAACCTCGCGGAATGCTACTATTGCGGAATACTAAGCAGACGCCTGACTTCTTAAATGCGGCACGTATATTTTTTGGTCTCAAATCCCATATAAGTAGGCACAATCTTCGTGAACGAATTCGTTCGGAATTATTCGAGTTACTCGGTGGCTTATGTTGCCTCACTCCACTTCACGCTGGTTTTCCGTGTGGTCGTGGTACTTCCTCGATGGACTTGCCATCTCGTGCAACAGCAAAGACTGTCGCGTGGCGCTACCAGCGTACCACAGATAAAATAGTGCACAAACTGCAAATTTATGCTTTTTAAATTAGCTCTTTGAGTTTTAATTATTTACTTTCTTATATTGCATTTATGATTGAATGTAGATAACTACTTTGATTTGAATTTAAATGTAAATTTTTAAAAATTGGTTGAAGTTTGTATGCAAATGAATCTTTTTCGAATATCCATGAAAGTGCCATACAACACACAAACTCTGGCCAGTTACGGCTTACCCTTAATTTCAGTCTCCTTGTGGCTGTAATCGAAGCTGCCATCGCAACACGCTTTTTTGCTGTAACTGCGTTATTAGAGTCCCCGATATTAATTCTTTTCACAGTGGTAGGGCTACGTAGCTATGGCTCTCGCACGAATGAGCACACTAGTCCGGGAAAGTACCAAGGCCTCACGGAAGACCGGTGTGAAATGAAAGTATGATGATAGGATATTTATTTATTTTCTATAATAATAATAATATAGAGCACAAATATAATTAAGGCTAGTTAAACTAACAAAAGGATATTGAGTACACTGTGGGTCCCAAACTAGCCAGTGCCTGTGTTTTGGAAAGCGACTTTACACATGAAAAAAAAACCGAGGGTATTTTTGTTTAAAAATTACACCAAATTTGAACACATTGTTTGATTGAACTCAGTGTTTGATACTTAGCGCGTGTGTTTTGTAATTATATAGTTGACGAATGCACCCAACATCTTAATAAACACAACAAAGGCAGTCTGTAATTATATGCATCGCTCTTTCCCTCGTCGGGTTTAACTGTAATTGGCGTCTGATCGGCCACTGATGAAACATCCATTACATAAAATATGCGGCATGTGACCAAGATTTGTATACCAGTTTAGAGCTGGCTCGTTTGTGTCACTTTTATACGAATGTTGAGACAGGCTGTGACGTCTGCAAACCCATTTTACATAACGACGATTTAACCAACTGATAAGAGTAAAGTAAGGCACTCATTACATTAAACTATATCACCAACACTCAAACTCGTTACCCATACGATAGGCGATTGTTTTAGTCTCATTGTCATCATAATAACAGCCAAGTCCACTGCTGAATAAGCCTTATCTGGAAATTGCCGCAAAGCACGATCCAAAACCACCTGAATTTTTTGACCTAGTCCAACCACCATTGACCTAGTCGTCGGTCCATCTTTAGTTTGCCTATTATTTAAGAACTTTTCTATCATTATTCAACTTTAGTCCCTCATAATTTCAATATCCTTTGCTGCTTATCAAAATGTACTGATGTTGGTTATCCTTTTCGCAGTACCCTCTTTCCTTTCTACTCTATATTTACTTGGACGGTCTAGACTTGGAGTCTGTATCTGCTGACGATAAACAAATTTCCTGAATTAAATTACTCATTCATACGACTCTGGAGGTTCTGAGGCAGTACAAACGGCCTCTGCGCAATCGTAGTGTTAAAAATTTAAGCAAATTTTTAAAAAAATTTAAGAAATGCAAAAAGCAAAATTTAAGAAATGAATAGTTGTGTTGGCACTTTTCCGCTTTACGACCATTGCAGGGGGCCTTGGTTTTAAAGTGTTCGAGGATTGTATTGTATGCGAGGCCGTTGCGTTCGGCTGCTCGGGAATTATGGCGGCAATCTACATCACCAACGTCGCAGTGAGCATCGCCTATGAGTTATTAAATTTACCTTTGACACCCCGAAACGCCTCAAGCATGTCTAATTTGGAAGCCTGCCCAAATATGTACCCAATAATAAGGACGTTTTATTTGTTTTATTTTGGCCAATTGAAGAGTCACGCGTAGCATGTTTTTTTAACTCTCACTATTTTTGCGACAACGGGGGCGGATTTTATATATATTTGATCTCTGCACATAATAACATACTTTATTTACGACTCATCACGTTATAAATGGTATTTATTTCGATGAACAATTCACTTACAATGGATGGAAACATCAAATTTTAGAAACACAAAAAACTTTAACCTGTATACACTCGTAATATATGTCTGTATGACGACTGTACATATATGCAGATGCAAGGCATTCTCTGATGGATGCCATTAGGGCATTTAATATTTGACCAAAGACGATCGATCTGCTAGAAGAGGACATTGCAGGGGGTGTGGGGAACTTTGGTGTTTTCGAGGAGTGCTTGACCGCCGAAGAGTTTGCCTTCGGCTGCACAGGAATCACCACCGCGATAGGAGGAACAGGCCTCGGCGTGAGTCGCTATAAACTTTGCTTAGATATCGGGTCGAAAACGTTACGGGCGAATATGTGCTGTATATGATGATATGTAATTTGTATTGTACTCCACTCACATAACCCACGGTACCGCTTTCCATCTGTATTCATGTCTAGCTCAATCCATAATCTCATTAAAAGGACTGAAATGTATAGTAATCGATATTAAAAGCTTGTCGGCATAATTCCACTAATCAGTCAACATCGGGGTGGAACAGAGAAGGAGGTGAATGGAAAGATAAAAAAAATAAAAATAAAAAAAGATGTCAAAAAAGAAAACGCTGACATTTACAAATATCTATTATAAATAAATTTATATGCATATGTTAATAAATATAATAAATACTACCTAGTATATATAATACATACCAATATATACGTATAATAATTATATAAACATAGGTACATAAATAACAAAAAAGAGTTTAAGTTGTAAGTTTAAGACCGCAGAGTTTCTTGCCAGTTCTTCCCTGTTCAGGTCTAGTTTAGTGAACCTGTGGTAGTTTTTTTAACGTTCAATAAGAGCTTCAGTTAAGCATTATATTATTGAATAAAGATATTTTGACTTTTGATATAAATATACTCTGATAATTAACGATGAAGTTGACCTGCCGGCAAGGTTTTGAGGATGTGCTCAAGTTTTTTTTTTTAAATACAGAGCGACATTTAGCCAACCTGAATTTGAGAGGTAGCGCATTCCACTGAAGGTTAGGTTAGGTTGGGGACTGGATAAAGAAAGAAGAGTGCATGAAGTCAGAACGGTGAGAGGGACATACGAGAAGACGATTATGCGAGGAGAGAAGGTTTTTGATGGCAGCACATAGATATTAAGAATGATGGGATAAGTAAGTCGAAAGAGAATAAAAATTCGAAAACGAGTAAAGGGTAGATTGAAGTTGAATTGATATTTGCGAAGATTGAAAATGAATCGAATGCAGTTATTACTACATTGTATAGTGTATGGTGTACATTCTACAAATATATTATTTTAGATGTTGGTGCACATCGTTATAAATATAAATAAGTAATTTATATCTTAAATAACTTTTATAATTACAGGGTCTCTTAAGTTTCTTTTTACTTTTATGCCACGACAATGCCCTTTCCTATCAAGTTGTGACACCCATTCCCACAAATAAAAAACTTCACACTTTGAGATAAATTGTTACCAACTTACCATGAACTTACCTACAGAACAAGACCTAATAAAAATAGCCTAGTTCAGTCACTTCAATAAACTTTTTGACAATACCTGTATCACAAGTATTTCACATATATTGCCATTTAATTTGTTTTATTTTTAAGTATTTATACGTTTTTTTCCTTCTTAACGAATTTACCTGTCGTTATTTAGCTATTTACAAAATTCTTACATTACAGACTAAATTCTTTCAGTTTATATTACGACATTTAAAATTTATTCTTTTTATTTTTTAAGTTTACGTTTTTTTTTTTTTCGATTTCGAAAGTTTTTATGAACGATAGTAATGTTGTTGTAACTGGACGAATTAAATAGTATTTACATGGTACAACTTGTAAAGTGATAAAAAATATGTACATAATACATTTTGGTATTTGATAATATGAGACTATAAAAACTTCATTTAGCAGTGTAACAATCTATTCTCGTTGTGGAATAAATAGTCTTTTGTGTACGAATCAGGGACGTAGCAATTACCTACCAACCATAGAAAACAGAAAGAATTCATATTTTTATTTTAAGTATGTAGAATAATTAAAACTACATGGGGCCTAAACTCGTGAATTTCGTAGAGAATTGTTTTGGAAAAAAAAACCTTTAGTAGAGACCTGTGCAGTTCCGCTTTTTTTATGCTTTTTCATTATCTCATTCATATTCAAAATAAAGGTGTTGCTTGTCATTTGTTTTTGGTAAAAAAAAATGCGCTGGTTCTACGGCATCCCTGGCGCCCACGTGTCACTTTCCTTCGCAGTGTTCTTCGATATCGCCCCTGAACTATATAGGATGGATCTTGCAGGTGGCTTGGGCATGGGTGTGTTTGACGGGTGCATGGTCGCCGAAGAACTGGCCTACGGTTGCACCGGTATCATGACAGCTATGGAGGCGAGCGGACTAGGCGTGAGTTGCATGCCTAAGGGTCGTCGTCTGCCTGAGCTAACCCTAAAAGTCTTTACGGGGCGGCGCAAAATTTAAACGCGCCTTAGCTATGTTGATTTCGCGAGTCCTGCGCGTGTAACGTCGATGCATTAACCATTTATGCTAACATCTTCTACTATCCCTATACATATATACTACCCTAAACATATCGTGCATTGCGCATTGACTCGGGCGAATTTCTGAGGCCCAATAAAATTTTGAAGTTTTAAGATATTAAGCCGTTCGATTCTTCTAGACGCTTCTATCCGCGCACTCCTTACGACGCGGTGAGGTCACTTTTAAAACTTTTACCGCGCCATAGATATCTTGTTTTATGCACTTGCATGTGTTTTGTTGCGCTTTGTTAATCAATCGTGTTTCCACTTTTTCGGTGAATGTTTGTATCGCTTTTTTATTGCATTTCTTGTGTTGCTACTATTCAATAATAATCTTATTGCTCAACTGTAATGCGCTATGGCTATATACACGCCTACAACTGCCAACAGTTTTGAAACGAAGGCAACATGACATTTTAATAAAACTTGGTATATGTATTACATTGAAATTCTTTTCATTTATTCTTTTGAAGATTTTCTGGTATGTCATGTCATATAATATGCATTTACCTTTAATAAATGGACGTCAAGTACGCATACAAGTACCCCAAGTAAAATTAACAAACTTCGTAAATATGTAAATAGAACCAGAATTATGCAAACTGCGTTCGGTGGTCTTACGTGCGACGCGCTTAAATCGTGATTCTCCTTATTAGTAAAACTTATAACTATTCATGGACCCTTTTTGTATTTAAAAAAGTTTCTTTTTGCTCGTAAACTTAGTTGATGTTGTATATATAAATACATTGCATCACATAGTCAGACGCTTCTGAAAAAAATTTACCCGTCTAAGTCGCTACTTAGAAGAGTAATTTTTTACTCGGATTCTTACACATTATGCCAGCAATGTAGAGAAATGAATTAATTAATCGTAAAGTCGTTAAAAACGCAGAATAAAAAACTATACGTATATTGAATAATTAGCCCCACCTCATCATGTCATAAATAGTTTAGTATAATAAGATCACAGACCCAAACATATAACGTTTTATTGTTGCAAACAACATTCAACCGTATAATTATGACCTAAGACTAAGGCATATAGCGTCTTGGATTTTAATAATATAAATTCCTCCACATTTACGTGGACACCAATAATATTATGACATATACGAGGTAGATATGACATTAGCACCAAAACTGTGGCACTCAAATTACGCAAATTGGTGTAATTAGATTGTAATTCTATAGTCTGCTATCTCTTTTCTTATCTTACGTTGTATATCATCTATCAGATTCACTTATTTATATAATAAAACCTAACTTATATATGTAATTTTGTAATGTATGTAATATGCATAGGAATTTTAAACGCGCAGTATGAACGTGCATGATCTTTATTAAAACATTATTGGCGGGTATTTACATTTTTTTACGATGTCCATTTGTTGTAGGTCAGTGCGTTTTTGCTGCCCTGTATATTAATCTTTATTAACTGTTATAATTTTACTTTCGCCCATTACTGAAACTGATGTAAATAAAATAATAATGAAAACCATGTCAATAAAATTGTCATTAATACCTGTAGAGTGAACACACAAGGTCAGCAATTTCATTGATTTGGTAAACCGATCGTTCTATTAGATCTTTCTATGCAGCGTGTGCCTCGATATGTTTCAGCAAACACCCGTTATCATCGCTGGCAATAAAGAGCAGCAGAAGAAGTATCTAGGGAGGCTGATTGACGAGCCCCTTGTCGCCGTAAGTATTGTAGACTCCTTCTACACTAATCTGAACGATTTGAAACTGTTACGACGGAAAAACAATATATCCTCCTTGCTGATTACTATATCGGATTATATTTCTGCTTTTAATGAGAACTAAATTTTAAGATAATATAACATTGAGATACGTAAATATAATTTTTAAAAAATGTTGTGTGTCTTTTTTGTGCACGTGTGCAACAAAAGTAACCGATAACGGTTGGGGAAAAAGGTTCTCGAATGGCAAACTAGGACGACCTTCTGGCCGTCGCAATCCAGGACGACCCCTCACTAGATGGAGTGACGACATGTCAAATGTGCGGGAAGTAGATGGATTCAGGTGGCTCACGATCATGCTTCGTGGAAGTCTGCGGGGGAAGCCTGAGGCAGTTGACTAAAAAAGGCTGTCATGATGACAGAAACAAGCGATTCTCTTTTGCATGATACCTCCATAGGTCCCACTAAAAGTTTCCAGAATTGACCACTTACATAAACATTTTTTTTAAAAGTAATTACAACATTTGAAAATGGAATTTTTCGGCTATAGAATGCAGTTTGTTTCATCTGACCGTCAAGTGTGCCATTTTAAAAATTGCATGTCTACATTAACATGGATTTAACTGGGGAAAATTTTCTTATTGATATTCTACGATTTTGAATGTAATTTGTTTTTTTATGTGAAAAAGTTAGCAAACGAGCTGAAAGATTCACCTGATGTTAAGTAATAACCGCCGCCCACTGACATTTGTAACATCCATAGGGTTGCAGATGACTTGCTACCTTTTAATTAAGTGGGCCCCGGCTACCTCACTCACCAGACGAAACGCACAACTATAATACTTCTACTTTACGCAGGTCTTGTGTGAGGTCGTGGCACTTCCCAGAACGGACCTACCCATTTGTGCAACAGCGAGGACTGTTGCGTGGTCCACAGTCATATATCATAATTTGATAGTTCAGCAGAGCCTCTCACGGCTTCAATCTGCTTCGAAGCGCGATCAGGCAACTTGTGACTTTTTTCTGTTCCTATAAATTAAAAACCAATTACGCCACGATTTACATCACTAAAATACGCATACACAGTTACGTAAAGTATTTTAAGAGCCAAATTCATTTTAGACCTTTAATAGTATTTTTACTTATTCATACCGGAAACTTTTAGTGCGCTCCACGTAACATTTTAATTAAATGACTTGATATTTTGTTAAATTCATATAAGTTGTCATAGTTTGCCATCGTAACACGGTGAAGTTAGTTGCAAAGCTACCGTGTTCCAGTCAGATAATAGCTACCGATCGAGCCGAGGTCCGGCCCTCTCGGGCACCCTCGAATCGGAATGCTAAACGCGTGCTGAGTGACAGCCCAAGCCGAGATCCCCTCTCGGGGACCCTTGAGCCTGATCACTCCATGGAGCGCCCGCCAAAGCGCCCTAAGAGCTTGGCGGCCTCCCAATAATAATAACGTGACGAAATAATAATAATAATAGCGTGACGGCCCGAGCCGAGGCTCCCCCGGGAGCCCTCGAACTTAGTCACCATAACGCGTAATAATAGTACGCAGAGGTTCAGGCTAGGCGCCTCGTGCGCCAGGCCACCTCAAGTCCGTCGGATCTGTAAAGGCCCCTAAGGCCAACAGTGGCTCATCCAGCCCAAAAAAAAAAAGCTACCGTGTTGTTACCGCATCGTTAAAAATGTGACTCTCATAATTTAATCTCAAATCATAAAAAATAACTGCCCAAATCGCCAAAAGAAGTATATCTTCTAATAAAATTGCTAATGCGTCGCATACCACCACCACCAGATGGTTGTTCCGCATCTGCGTGTTTGTCCGCGTGGAATTTAAGGTTGGAAAAACGTCCTTACCACGCAGGATAATGGTATCCCAAAGTAAGGGCAATGTTTTTAACAATATAACATATAACTTATTTCTTTCCTTTTCTACTTCTTTCTACATCTAAAAAACCGGCGAAATTAACAGGCGTACTGCGTGACGGAGCCCGGCGCGGGTTCCGACGTGGCGGGCGTCAAGACGCGCGCCGAGAAAAAGGGCGACGAGTGGATCCTCAACGGCCAGAAGATGTGGATCACCAACGGCGGTGTTGCTAACTGGTAACTTGGCTCTAAATTAAACTGTGTCACTAGCTAGCTAAATTAAACTATGGTTCAGCTGGACAAAGTGTTCGGAAAGCGGGAATTTAAAATAACGTTCGGCAAATTTCCTGGAAGTATTCTAGGTAATTGTGGTGGGTTTGTTTCGATTTGAGGTTGCCCGTGAGTTAATTAGCGCGCGGCATCGCCATCTAAGCGCATATCTGTTATAGTAAATAACATATGAATTGGATTTCAAGCAAAATATCCGTCTAAGAGTTGATACAGCTTACACCATACTTTTTTTTTACAAAAATTATTCGTTCCTTAGCCATAATAATAATTTCGCCCTTATAACACAGGCTTTAAAAACTTATGTATTGTGCAGGTATTTCGTGTTGGCTAGGACCAACCCAGATCCCAAATGCCCGGCGAGCAAGGCCTTCACCGGTTTCATCGTGGAGAGGGAATGGGCTGGCGTAACCCCCGGTCGTAAGGTAAGCTTAACAACAATGAAATGTAAACATTTAACTTCAATTATCACACTTTATGGAATGTCATTCAACTTGCTTCTCTTTAGCTGCTCCTTGTCGGACAAACACACCACCCAATTTCCAGAGTGCCTATTCGTCTCCTCGATTACATAGATACGAGCGAATCATTCTTAGAAGTTTGAGAGGTCATCTTTTTAATCGCAACCTTATTCCTGACAAACACTTTGGATTTTTCCTGGCTGTCGCCTATTCGTCTTCTCGACATGGATTACGTATACTAGCGAATCATTCTTAGAAGTTTGAGAGGTCATGCTTTTTTTCGTAACCTTATTCCCGACAAACAAATTGGATATTTTCTTTCTGTCGCCTATTCGTCTTCTCGACATGGATTACGTATACTAGCAAATCATTCTTAGAAGTTTGAGAGATCATGCTTTTTTTCGTAACCTTATTCCTGACAAAGCAAATTGGATTTTTCCTTTCTGTCGCCTATTCGTCTTCTCGACATGGATTACGTATACTAGCGAATCATTCTTAGAAGTTTGAGAGATGATGCTTTTTTTCGCAACCTTATTCCTCACAAACAAATTGAATTTTTCCCACAACATTCTTGTCCCCAAAAAGTTCGCCGACTGACAGAGTGTACCTTCTTCTTGACGCAAAGGCATGCATCAGTCTGGCATAACTGCTTACTATACAACCAGACCGCACTTAAATTGCCGGATAGAATTGTTCCCACAATTCAGGCCATATTGTATATTAGTACTTTCGCTTTTGTATATAGGATGCCCTCTCTTGGAGCCGTTAACTCAGAGCGGGAGTTCCTTAAGGTTCATGTGTTTTGCCACTGCTCTTCTTAGATTACACAAGTGAAATCGCAAATTATCCATATGTCGAACACGCGCTCATTTTACACGGACGGACTTCCGAAAAGAGTCGCTAATCGGCGATTCGTTTCGTAAATGTAAAGATAAACCCTGAAACAAGTTCTGCAATATATTCAAATATTTTCCACCACAAACCGTTGATCCACCCAAGTTAGCCACAACAGGAAGACAAGACAATCGCAAATAATCCTTTTCAAGAAACCGATTTCTCATGAGAGGCAAATATGATATTTATGTGATACGTTCGACGCAGATATATAATTTCGTACCCAGTGTTTTGCTCTTAAGTCATTATAAGGCTTGCATAAGACCGATAATGATATTTTAATAATCATAATTTTCTCGCACGTCCCTCGTGGTTCATATAGGACCTAAGAGAACTGAAGGGGAAGAATTGTCGAGTTAAAGCGGTAATGTAAAAGAAATATAATATTCACTGTGACAAGTTGGAACTTCTAGAAGTATCTTACCCACTTTAATGGTTTGCATTTGCACATTTTTATACGTTTTGCACACGCTTGTTAACAGGAGCAAAATATGGGTCAGCGCGCCTCCGACACTCGCGGGATAACTTTCGAGGACGTCCGAATCCCTAAAGAGAATGTGCTAATCGAAGAGGGCGCCGGTTTCAAGATTGCCATGGGCGCCTTCGACAAGACCCGACCGCCGGTAAGTGAAATTCAAATGCTCACAAGTGACATGCCTTAACTGTTTTTTTTTATCTCAGAGGATGGCACCTGGGCTAACAGTTCACCGGATATTAACTGATAACCGTGGCCCACGGACATTTATAATAAAGTTGGCCTCCTTTTCCTTACCCAGAAGAAATGCAGAAGTATATCACTTTGACTCTACTTAGGTCTTCTATGAGATCGAGATACTTCCCAGATGGACCTGCCCGTTGGTGCAACATCGAATATTTTCTGTCTCCAAACAAATAACATTCTTAAAATGGACCATTTATTTGTCTTTTCTAATGTAATTGGTAGTCTCTGGAATATCTAAAAAAAACGAAGAAACAAAACGTGTGAGATGTAATTTCGTAATAAGAAACAAATTTAAAATAATTAAAATTATTTTAAATGCGTGTTAAAAGATTGGTTAAGTAGAAATATCATGCGTAATTTGAAAGGAAAAAAGAAGCTACGAACCACATCCACCAGAGTTAAGAAAATCTGTTTAAACTAAACTAAGCATACAACAATTACTACTCGAAAAAGTATTACGATCTGAAAATCAATGTCAGCAGCTTTAACCTATTTTTTCCGTATAAAACAGCATTAATATTTATTTGCGCTTACTTTACTAAATTATTGTCATTGTATTCGTTAATGTATCAAAAAACGGCGACGAGAAAATTGATAGAGATCCGAAAACTCGACCGCTAGGTGGCGGCCGGGGCGACGGGGCTCGCTCAGCGCGCCCTCTACGAGGCGACTAAGTACGCCCTAGAGCGCAAGACGTTCGGCGTGCCCATCGCCCACCACCAGGCGGTGGCGTTCCTGCTCGCGGACATGTCGATCGGCGTCGAGACCGCCCGCCTCGCCTGGCAGCGCTCCGCTTGGATGGTCGATCACGGTCAGCATTTTTCTTCCTTCTGGCGGTACCTCCGATATTATTGATACAGTGACCACCGCCCGTGGACATTTGCAACACCAGTAAGGTTGCATACGGGTTGTATTCTACGAATACGCCGAATACGCCCCGTATTTCTCGGTGTACGAAGTAAGGGCTACTTCGTCCACCGTTCCCATATGTTCCACCACTTCATTTCCACCAAACAAGCCTGCCCTATCGCGCTACATCTAAGACTTGCTCCTTCCATTCTTTCCCAAACATATTTAATTCAATCCCATCCTTATTTTTTTTTTATATAAAAACATCACGAACTAGCAGCGGATCAAGTGCCTTGACTCAACATCATTGTGACTTTTTAGTAGATTATGCTGGACGGCCCCATCACAGTATGTCCTCGTCTGTTGATCAATATCGAAAACAATCGGGTTTATTTTATTCAATAATTGCTTCATTGTATTATTGAATATTGGATACAATTTAATAGGGAACTATATTTTATTACATTTTATTTGTTCGCACACTGTGTTTGAGTCAATACGGACCCATCTACGATTCTAAAAAGAGGTTTCTGGTAAATTTGAACATTCTCCATTGCTTGTTCCCGATTTCAGGTCAAAGGAATACGGTGATGGCTTCAGTGGCCAAATGTCACGCGTCTGAGATCGCAAACAAGGCCGCCTCCGACGCTGTGCAGATCTTCGGCGGGAACGGCTTCAACACGGAGTACCCGGTTGAGAAGCTCATGAGAGACGCCAAAATCTATCAGATCTACGAGGGCACTTCTCAAATACAGAGACTGATCATCTCCAGGGAGATTCTGACCGCCGCCAAGCAATCCAATGGCTAGTCTGAAATGTATTAAAGTATTAGACGAATGATTGCACGTGGGTCACATGCTATTCATAATACATAGAATAAGGTGTTGTTTACTGAATGAGCCTTTTTCTCTGAAACATTTTATAATCTTTAATCTATAATCTTTTTGAGAAAACTTCTATTTTATACTGATTTATTAATTTTTTTGTACTGTTTGTTAAAAACATCACTTTAAATAATTAAGGTTAAATGTATACTTCGTGTTCACAGCAGCAGACATTCAAATGTTGCGTTCAAAAGTTGTAAATGCCAATAATAGTAAATAATGCGCGAAAAAGGTTTGAATTTATTTAAGACGTTTGTTTCATTTATACATACAAGATGTGTTTTAGACAAAATTTCAGAATAGAAGACAATATAATACACGTTCATTAAAAATATTTTAAACACACCTTTGCGAAAAATACGTGTCAAGCCAAGGTTATGTTATAACCATTTTCTAGAAAATTCAATTCAAGTAAAGGAGAAAACAATAGGTTCGCTAAGCATTGCACAAAATGAGAATATGTTTTATTTTATTTTTAAAAACTTCATGCACGACGTGTTTGCGAAATCTCGCGGAATCTAAAAATAGGCAGTTTTTACGTGCTTTTCGCGCCAAATAGAAACTAAACTAAATGTAAGTAATAATTATCACATATTCATTCTTCCTTCATCTTCAAAAGGTAGCATTTTTTATCGATAATTTTTATCGATAATATTCTAAATGACAATTTTCGTTGCCTCGTCACTCAACATGGACGATATCCTGTTGGATATTTCTTTTTATTTAAAAATATTGTATGTAAGCAGACATGTCCAACTTAAAAAGTTAGCTAAAATAATTATCAAAATGTTTGGAATAGTCTCAGAAAAAAAGAAAGATTAAAGTCTATTTCTTTCATATTAGATCTTACGCGTTGAATCTTAAGTGATTGAGATAAAGGTTATTTTAATGGTCATTTTCTTGATTTATTCAACAAAACTATTTGAAGAAATATTAGTCTGCGTCTGTCCGTCATGAGTGGACACTGTCGCTTGTATACAGCAGCTCGTGAAGAAAAATATCGCTGTAGGAATACTGGTTGATAACGTACTCTAAATAATTTTAAGAAGCTTGTGTCCCTTCGATCCCGGACTGTAAAAAGGATGCTCGTCAATAGGAAAGGGCGTTCATTACATACATTGCACGCCTACCTTAGTAACTGCAAGTGCCTTCTCCGTAGCTACTTGAGGATTCGAACTCCAGATGTTGTCGAGGTGGCGGTCGGATCTGCGGTTGTCCTTTCCCTTATTTGCGCACAAAGCTTTAGTATATTTTATAATCACAGTTATATAATTTATAAGATTGCGGCGCGGTAGTTAGTATTATTCTTGTGCCGATTGCTCTCGGTGCATCATATATGCAATACGTAGGCGTGCGGGGTGAGGGGGTAAGAACGCCCGAGTAGGATTTAGAGTTCAGGGTAAACGTGGATTTTTTTTAAGGAAACGGCGCTAACAAATACAAAATATTTATTCATTCTGTTCGGACTACGAACGACAAAAGTAAAATTTAATTGACACTTTGCCATATTCTTAATAGAAGTTAGTAGGGATTACAAAGTCATATTTCGTTACGGACTTGATACCTGAAGGTGTACTTCGAGAACTGCTACTGGAACTAACAGACGAGAAGAGCTATGTGTGTCGAGTTTGGGCTTGTTTTGTTACTTATATTGAGACCTTGCCTTCTGATTTGATGGAGTGACGTGAGGGTGTACTTTGAAGACAGCTACTGGATCTAACAGACGAGTAGAGCTATGTGTGTCGAGTTTGTGCTTGTTTTGTTAGTTATATTGAGACCTTGCCTTCTGATTTGATGGAGTGACGTGAGGGTGTACTTTGAAGACAGCTACTGGATCTAACAGACGAGTAGAGCTATGTGTGTCGAGTTTGGGCTTGTTTTGTTAGTTATATTGAGACCTTGCCTTCTGATTTGATGGAGTGACGTGAGGGTGTACTTTGAAGACTGCTACTGGATCTAACAGACGAGTAGAGCTATGTGTGTCGAGTTTGGGCTTGTTTTGTTAGTTATATTGAGACCTTGCCTTCTGATTTGATGGAGTGACGTGAGGGTGTACTTTGAAGACTGCTACTGGATCTAACAGACGAGTAGAGCTATGTGTGTCGAGTTTGGGCTTGTTTTGTTAGTTATATTGAGACCTTGCCTTCTGATTTGATGGAGTGACGTGAGGGTGTTCGTTTTGTTAGTTATATTGAGACCTTGCCTTCTGATTTGATGGAGTGACGTGAGGGTGTACTTTGAAGACTGCTACTGGATCTAACAGACGAGTAGAGCTATGTGTGTCGAGTTTGGGCTTGTTTTTGTTAGTTATATTGAGACCTTGCCTTCTGATTTGATGGAGTGACGTGAGGGTGTACTTTGAAGACTGCTACTGGATCTAACAGACGAGTAGAGCTATGTGTGTCGAGTTTGGGCTTGTTTTGTTAGTTATATTGAGACCTTGCCTTCTGATTTGATGGAGTGACGTGAGGGTGTACTTTGAAGACTGCTACTGGATCTAACAGACGAGTAGAGCTATGTGTGTCGAGTTTGGGCTTGTTTTGTTAGTTATATTGAGACCTTGCCTTCTGATTTGATGGAGTGACGTGAGGGTGTACTTTGAAGACAGCTACTGGATCTAACAGACGAGTAGAGCTATGTGTGTCGAGTTTGGGCTTGTTTTTTTTGTTATATTGAGACCTTGCCTTCTGATTTGATGGAGTGACGTGAGGGTGTACTTTGAAGACAGCTACTGCTACTGGATCTAACAGACGAGTAGAGCTATGTGTGTCGAGTTTGGGCTTGTTTTGTTAGTTATATTGAGACCTTGCCTTCTGATTTGATGGAGTGACGTGAGGGTGTACTTTGAAGACAGCTACTGGATCTAACAGACGAGTAGAGCTATGTGTGTCGAGTTTGGGCTTGTTTTGTTAGTTATATTGAGACCTTGCCTTCTGATTTGATGGAGTGACGTGAGGGTGTACTTTGAAGACAGCTACTGGATCTAACAGACGAGTAGAGCTATGTGTGTCGAGTTTGGGCTTGTTTTGTTAGTTATATTGAGACCTTGCCTTCTGATTTGATGGAGTGACGTGAGGGTGTACTTTGAAGACAGCTACTGGATCTAACAGACGAGTAGAGCTATGTGTGTCGAGTTTGGGCTTGTTTTGTTAGTTATATTGAGACCTTGCCTTCTGATTTGATGGAGTGACGTGAGGGTGTACTTTGAAGACTGCTACTGGATCTAACAGACGAGTAGAGCTATGTGTGTCGAGTTTGGGCTTGTTTTGTTAGTTATATTGAGACCTTGCCTTCTGATTTGATGGAGTGACGTGAGGGTGTACTTTGAAGACAGCTACTGGATCTAACAGACGAGTAGAGCTATGTGTGTCGAGTTTGGGCTTGTTTTGTTAGTTATATTGAGACCTTGCCTTCTGATTTGATGGAGTGACGTGAGGGTGTACTTTGAAGACTGCTACTGGATCTAACAGACGAGTAGAGCTATGTGTGTCGAGTTTGGGCTTGTTTTGTTAGTTATATTGAGACCTTGCCTTCTGATTTGATGGAGTGACGTGAGGGTGTACTTTGAAGACTGCTACTGGATCTAACAGACGAGTAGAGCTATGTGTGTCGAGTTTGGGCTTGTTTTGTTAGTTATATTGAGACCTTGCCTTCTGATTTGATGGAGTGACGCCTGAGGGTGAGGGTGTACTTTGAAGACTGCTACTGGATCTAACAGACGAGTAGAGCTATGTGTGTCGAGTTTGGGCTTGTTTTGTTAGTTATATTGAGACCTTGCCTTCTGATTTGATGGAGTGACGTGAGGGTGTACTTTGAAGACAGCTACTGGATCTAACAGACGAGTAGAGCTATGTGTGTCGAGTTTGGGCTTGTTTTGTTAGTTATATTGAGACCTTGCCTTCTGATTTGATGGAGTGACGTGAGGGTGTGACTTTGAAGACTGCTACTGGATCTAACAGACGAGTAGAGCTATGTGTGTCGAGTTTGGGCTTGTTTTGTTAGTTATATTGAGACCTTGCCTTCTGATTTGATGGAGTGACGTGAGGGTGTACTTTGAAGACAGCTACTGGATCTAACAGACGAGTAGAGCTATGTGTGTCGAGTTTGGGCTTGTTTTGTTAGTTATATTGAGACCTTGCCTTCTGATTTGATGGAGTGACGTGAGGGTGTACTTTGAAGACTTACTGATCTGAAACTAATAGAAGAGAAGAGCTGTGTGTCGAGTTTGGGCTTGTTTTGTTAGTTATATTGAGACCTTGCCTTCTGATTTGATGGAGTGACGTGAGGGTGTACTTTGAAGACAGCTACTGGATCTAACAGACGAGTAGAGCTATGTGTGTCGAGTTTGGGCTTGTTTTGTTAGTTATATTGAGACCTTGCCTTCTGATTTGATGGAGTGACGTGAGGGTGTACTTTGAAGACTGTTACTGTTAAACTAATAGAAGAGAAGAGCTGTGTGTCGAGTTTGGGCTTGTTTTGTTAGTTATATTGAGACCTTGCCTTCTGATTTGATGGAGTGACGTGAGGGTGTACTTTGAAGACAGCTACTGGATCTAACAGACGAGTAGAGCTATGTGTGTCGAGTTTGGGCTTGTTTTGTTAGTTATATTGAGACCTTGCCTTCTGATTTGATGGAGTGACGTGAGGGTGTACTTTGAAGACTGCTACTGGATCTAACAGACGAGTAGAGCTATGTGTGTCGAGTTTGGGCTTGTTTTGTTTATTAGTTATATTGAGACCTTGCCTTCTGATTTGATGGAGTGACGTGAGGGTGTACTTTGAAGACTGCTACTGGATCTAACAGACGAGTAGAGCTATGTGTGTCGAGTTTGGGCTTGTTTTGTTAGTTATATTGAGACCTTGCCTTCTGATTTGATGGAGTGACGTGAGGGTGTACTTTGAAGACTGCTACTGGATCTAAC